GAATGAGTTCATCATTCGCCATTTGACATCTTAATTCACTGTAATATTGCTACTTGGAACTTTCTTTCCCTGGTGCATTGTACATTGTTTATTTAAAGGAGGCCAGTTCCAATTGCAAGCTGTAACTGGGAACCGAGCATCTCTTTTGTTCTGTTTAAACTGGGGGGAAATATAAATAACATACATCTCAAAAACCTGTTTCTCACTTTTTGGATCTGTTACTGTTCACATTGTAGTAATAATGGATGGACTTTGACATTACAATCACCATTGTTTATAGCGCAAGAAATGCTTTTGTATTTGTTAAATTGAAGAAAAGAAAGAATAACCTAACTTGCTTTCAAGCTAATCAATTGTTTTTGCACCTACCACAAAGGCAGCACTAAGCTTTGATGTTAAAATGGTGTTCAATGAATTATTGTAGAATGACCGAACAATGGCCCCTGAAGCTTGTGTTTAGACATGTTCCCACTTGCTGGGTTACTCTGTAACCGTAGAGCTGAACTAGAAGGTTGTCCTTACAATGAATGTGGAAAGTAATTCAGGATCAAAGAACTCGGTGAGAAATCAACAATTCCCAAATGTTGTATCTACTTTGTCTACTTGTTGATGACTCTTACAGTATCTATCAACATTTCTAGAATTGCCACGGTAAAAGTCGCTGATCTCTCTGATTTGCTGGCAAATATAAAGACCCAATTCCTTGACAGGGTAAGACTGGATATCATTTGAATATAGCTCCTCTAAAGATTGCTGTATCAGTAGAAAAAGTCTTAAGCTATTACAATCCATTATTATTACATAAAATTGGCTGCTGCATTTCGCCAATAAAATACACAATCACTACACTTTACAGTATATTTTGTGAAGCGCTTTGAGACGTCTCGAAGACGTGATAAGGTGCTATATCAAATGCAAAGATTATTATTTTTAGTTTTCATTGGAGAATTCACCATCCAAGAAACAGTTCTGCTTACGTTTCAAGCAAGTGTTGTATTTTAATGAATAGTAGCATTGAATGTACCATCTGCCACTTTTTGGCTATGAGTGTTCAGCTTTAAATAACTCTCACTGTTTTATTTTGTTTTATTTTATTTTGTATTAATGTTTAATACTCACCAAAATAAATCACCAAACTATGATGGTCTATGACTCTTAAAAGAGTCAGCTGGAGGGATATGGAGAAAGGAAAGGTAAATCAGACTGAAAGGATTGCTTTTGAGGGAGCCAGCACAGACACAATGGGTCGAATGGTCCCTTTTTTGCCGTAACTTTCTATGATTTCTATGAACTTTCAGCGCTTTGGGACGTCCTCCCAACGTGATAGGCGCTCTATAAATGTAATTTTGTTGTTTTTGATGGTGATTCTATTGAGCAGTGATGTGCTTTTCATCATTTTCAACTCTGTTTCTTCAATATATTGTACATTAATAATAACAATTTTATTTTGTAATTACTAATACCAATGTTACTAATGATACCAATGTTGACACTGTTTATCACTACTTTAGATTTTGTAATATTAATGCAGATACTGATTATTGATTGAAAATATATTGATTTGGTGTAAAAAAAAGCGCTGCAAAACTCCTTTTGTGTTATTTTAAGATTAATGTGCTGCAAATTGACTGAGGTCAATTGAGTGGGTTAGCTCTCACAAAGGGTATGGAAATGTTCCAGGACGCACAGCCTCCTTCCATATCGTGCAGTGGAAATAATGTTTTTTTGTGAGACAGGAAAAAAGATGCATTTTTCTAAATAATGCAATATATATTTAAAACTATTCAGATCAAGCTCAAAGAATGCAAATAGAAATTATAATAATAATCCTTGCATTTGATATAGTGCTTTTCACGTCTTCTAGACGTCTTCTTACCTCCCCTATCTCTTTTAAGCGCTTTGGGACGTCCTCCCGACAGGAAAGGCACTCTACAAATGTAATTTTGTTGTTGTTGTATCTCTTTTAAGGAACCAAATGCTTAGTACATTATGCTTTTGGTACAGTGTTTCTTTATTCTTTCCAGGTGTTGTATTTCTGGTTATTAAAACTATACCTAGCCATATTCAGAACATATCAATCTATATTTGCCAAAGTACATTAATTCAGTACGAACAAAACATTAGATCCAACAAATTCTCAAATTATTCTGGGATACAGACAAAAAAATCTAATGGTGATGACTGAACTGGAAAAAATGCCTTATGAATGATACTTAAAGTATGTAGTTGTGTCTCGGTCATAATCCAAAAACAAAAGTATAAGCTGAGCACTAAATGCTTTTTCTGTTCATTGTGGCATTTGTCAATGGACACATGTGCAACATTTGGCAGCCTTGTAAGAATGTTACAATTGCTTACTTTGCCGAATTTCACAGACTCCACACAAGTCTGAAATTCCTCAAAGCAGTCAAGTACTGTTGGTGTAGGCCAGCTGACACTAATAGCATTGTGTACAAGTAGAGACTGAAAGAGGAAAGAAATAAAATGTCGAGCAGAACAGACACCCTCCCTTTCCTACGCAATATACATTGCAGTAAATACAAGGCTGCCACTGACAAATGTATAATAAAATGAAGCCACCACGCACCCCTCTCAGCTCTTTTCTCCCCTTTCTCCGTTGCTAAGAGGCAATCCCAATAAACCTATTTATGAGAACTCTTATTTGAATTTGTCAGTGTTCAATGCCACATGTACATGTTTTACTAAATCAGGGATTCTCTCCAGGCTTGTTGAGAGGATCTGTTGCTACTGTAATTGCCATTCATCTCTGGCAAATAGTGTTTTCTTTTAAATAATCTACCGTTTAATCTGAACCTTTTAATTGTACCATCTGATTTATCAAATCTTGATGGTCACCTTGTGGTCAGAGACTGGAAATCAACTTTGATGACTTATGCACACTACATATTACAGAATTTCAATTTCTCTTCAGTACCAAATTGTAATTTAAATCATCCCAAGGATGGGGGTAGGTGAATAATTACCCACACTCATAGTTTCCTAAGAAATTTATATTCTGAGTGTTTGGGTGTACTTCATTCATACTTATACATCAGTTTTATTTCTGGGACACATCTTTAACTCTTTTTCTCCCTTATCTATAACTGATCAGCTTTGTTATCTCCCATACCAGCAAAAAGCCAAAATTATACAATTTACCAGTATTCTCTGTATGGAAAATTTTTCAGAATGGAAGCTTTCTTTCAGGTGAAAAACTGCAAAATGAAACAAAGTACTTGTGCATTTCTACCAATATAATTTGCAGTGCACCTGTACTAATTGGGCCAGTCTACATTGTGGTTCCTGACATTTCACCTCTGGCTTTAAATTTCTGAAAATATCCAGTGAACACTATGGAACCATAGAAATTTACATCACAGAAGAAAGCCATTGGGTCCATTGTGCCTGCTGGCTAAGATCCGGACTGGGTCAAAGCGTCCCGGATGTGTGACATATCCAGTTGAACTGTGCTGTTTGGTTAGATGGGTGGAGAGAAGGTCACCAAGGGCGTCACCCTGGCCTAGTGCATGCTTTCCACTGGCCACTTGTACAGCAGAATCTGAGAGAACTTTGGCAGCAAGGTTTGCAATCTGCAGATGAATGTAGAAATGTAATGCTGCAGGATGAAGGATATGAACATATTGTTAAGGATGATCCCAACCTTTCGTCACAGAGTAGAGCTGGAAAACTAACATCTCTTGCAGAGAACAGCTTGAAGCTAAGAAGAAAAATAGCTGTCTGGTGTTCCAAATGCCTTTGCCAACCAGTAATTCACTGCTCTGGTAACAATGCATTACTGAAAGGGATCCAGCTGCACAGGGTAGGGGTGGGAAATTATGAAAATGGCTGATTAAGGAATAGGTTGTGATTTGATGTATGAGTGGGAGAAATCATAAAAGAGAATTCCACTTGCTGACATCCTTTCCAAAATTCAGGGGATTACTTTCTCAGGACTCGAGCTGTCTCATTGGGAAGTATGCAAACGCTTTAAGCTGTGCAATGAAAAAAATATCTTGTGTCCTGGAAACTTTCTGTTCACATTGCTTTATAGTGCTGAACGATTAAGGAAGAGGATCCAGGTGATTTTACTCCTAGAATGATGGTAATACAGGTTTATTTAACTTTCTTTCCCAATAGAGAGGTTTCCTTTTAAAAAGCGTTGGCCTGTTTCAGTTCCTATAATAATAATAAAAGTTCTTGCATTTGATATAATGCTTTTCACGTCTTCTAGACGTCTCAAAGCACTTTACAGAATATATTGTAAAGTGAATTGACTGTATATTTTGTGGGCGAAACGCGGCAGCCAATTGCTCACAGCGGTGTCCCACAAACAGTCGTGGATTGAGTGACCAAATTATCATGCTTTTTTCTTGATTATCAGGCGCGTGGAGTAAGGAAACTTGCCCAAGGTTTCACCCTGCCGGGAATCGAACCCAGGTCTCTCGCTTGTGAGGCGAGTGCTCTAACCACTGAGCTACAGGACTCCTTGGTGACTCCTATGATTAAATCAAAGTGGCAACCTCTGGAAAAAGTGCCCTTGTTTACCCCTGTATAGCCATTCTAGTAGGAACTCTATTGTGCAATTAGCCTAGAATTTAAGCTTATCGTTCAGGAATTCATAGTTGATGTGAGATACTGGATACGTCACTTGCACATCTAGAAAACTGCGTGCTAGAAACAGAAAATGTTAAAATGACAACCACCTTCCCAGAAGATGCAAAATTTTGCTTTGAATGAAGTGCTCTGGAACGCTTCCCTATGTGAGGGGCGCTATATAAATGCAAGTTGTTGTTGTTGCTTGCAATTCAAAAGTATATACCTGTGGAATATCTAAGATATTACAGTAAATGAGTTTGTTTTTAATGCATGAATGATGTTTCTATGGTCAATTAAATAACAAACCTTTCAAAGTATATAGCATTATATCATTAAAACAACTTTGAATATGTTCTATATTTCCAGCATAAAGTTTAACACTGATGTGGGCTTTTGTTTTTCAGAAACGTTCAAAGGCCAGCTACTGATGGATAAAGTGTGTGAGCAAATCAACTTATTAGAAAGGGATTATTTCGGCCTCACCTTTCGGGATGCTGCAGACCAAAAAGTAAGGTGGAAAATTAAAATAATACTACTTACAACTTTTATGCTGTAATAATTGAAGGTGAAATGAAAGGATTTCTGAATACAGAGCAAAGTGCACTTGGGACAATGACAAGGAAACGAGATTTCTGAAGGTCCTTTTATAGAAATTTTCAAAGCGTTTATTGAACTGTGGTATAAGATGTAAACCTATCATTTAGAATACAATAGTAAAAGTATGTTTTGAATCCCATTGATTAAGAGCAAAACTTGTTCATCCCTCATTATAACTATTCATAGATGCAGGAATTCCCAGCAATAGTTCTCTTTAAGAGCCTTTGTATATTGGTGTTCAGTTACCATGATTCTGGCAGCAAATTGCCACGAAACCTGGAGCATAATCACAGTCAAGCTCCATTCCTTGAAAACCTGTAGAATTATATCTTGGAATTCTCTGGGATATTTGAATTGAAAGTATTTAATGCTATAAAGAGTCAATCATTTAGCTGGTTCATGTTATGCATCCAGCTCTTTAATAATAATAAAATGCTGCCAAGGTGAAAAGTGCTATATATTGTCCTCAGTGGCTCAGCCCCATCTACGTTCTGTGAAGCGCTTTGAGACATCTAAACAACATGATAAGGTGCTACATCACGTAGTAATACCTTCAAACAAAAAATAGTAATAATAATTTGGTCACTCAATCCACAATTGTTTGTGGGACATTGCTGTGCGCAATCGGCTGCAGCATTTCGCCCACCAATTCACTTTACAGTATTTTCCGTGAAGCACTTTGAGACATCTCGAAGACACGATAAGGTGATATATTAAATGGAAGGATTATATCTAATTCAAGGATTATTAGCTTTCCTCTGCTTGGCCCTCCCCTAAAGCACTCTGCAGCACAGCAACCCTTTGAAGTAAAACCATTTAATTTCGATGTGTATGATGTCAGAGCTTACTTTCAAAAAAAAATTTTCTGTCTGTCAAATGTCTACATACACAATTCCGTAGGGACCTACGGCTTGCTCCTTAAGATCTAGTACACTTAGGCTGATTTTAGTGTATTTCTAACGTTTCATTTCTTTTATCTAGAACATGGTATACACATTAAATATAATTACTGGAATGTTTCCATGCTCTTGCTTTTTTCTAAGGCTTTTCTCTGTTTAAAGAAATGAGAGCTTACTTCAAAGGGTTGTTGTGTTGGAGAACAGTTTAGGGGAGGGACAAAGAGAGGGAAGATAATAATCCTTGTATTTGATATAGCGCCTTTCACATTGGAATGACGTCTCAAAGCGCTTCACAGGATTTATGGTAAGGTGTAACAACTGTATATTTGTAAGCAGCAGCCATTTTGCGCACAGCAATGTCCTGCAAACAGCCATGTTGCAGAACTAAAAGTAAGGTGGAAAATTTAAATAATACTACTTACAACTTTTGTGCTGTAATAATTGAAGGTGAAAATGAAAAGATTTCTGAATACAAAGCAAAGTGCACTTGGGACAATGACAAGGAAACGAGATTTCTGAAGCATCAATGAATGATTTTATCTGTGGAATTGTTGGCATGTAGAGAAACTCCCTTGTTTTTCAAGTAGTGAAGTGGGATCTTTAATGTCCACCTGAACAGGCAGATGGGACCTCAGGGAAGGTACCTCAAAAGGTGCAATGTAGCAAAATGATGTAGGAAAACCACTGAAGTTGGAATTTTTTTCAAGTAATGAACCCTGTAATTCTCTGCATTATAATTTGGGTTATTCTTAATGTGTAGAAAGGTATTCTTACAAAGAATGGAGGCCCTTTGGGGCATCTAATTTTAAGTTAATGTTGTTGCTTAATACTTGTGCAGCCAATTTTGTTAGAACGTTCTTAGGTTTAATGTCTATTTGATTGCTGGCAATAGTTCTTAATTGGCTAGAAAAGAACAAGTTGTCATAAGTTCAGCTGCTTCAATTTTCCATTTATCCAGGAATTTCTTTAATTCTAGCTATGACATTGTTGGAATGTAAATGTTTACGACATGGGATATAGCTGACAGTAATTTTGCACAGTGTGAAGGGTCCATCTGCGGTATCATATAATCTTAACACACAGGCTATTTTTTTAAAATTAGCTCAGAAAATATATGGCTGTGTCCAGCTCATGAGCTTTTAGGTTTGGCATTAAATAAATAGTCTAAAAAACCTAAAATAAAAAAGAATTTTGTATTTTTTAAAAGAATGATCTTGAACACCCTTGATGGACTAGTAGGTAAAGGCACTACCAACGCTAGCACCAAGCCATACAGACAAGATTGCAAGTTTTGATATCCAGTCTGCGCACACTTAGCTGATTTCAGATGGAAGAATTTGGGGGACACTAACACTCACCTAAATGCTTCTGAGTAATCTGGCAATCTTTGCTGATGGATTGGAAATATATTTGTAGAATTTGAATTTGGAAAGAGTGCCAAACTTTTAATATTTGCCTTTTTAAAAAAAATTTGGTTAAGATCTGTTGAGCCAGTGAGTGAATTGCAAGTTTGATTAAGTACAGCCTGGCAGTCAGATTGCCCCTGTGTGTGCAGTTGGAGATTTTCATTGTCTGTCTTTAATGAGATGTTAATGGGAGTGTTGGAGATCTCTGCTTTTTCAACTATAAAAGTAGAGAAAATGTCATGTTTTACCATGCCTCCAAACAATCCTTTAAAATTCTTATTGTCTATCCACCCACACACATACACACACACATCCTGGCATAACAAATTCTATTGTGCATCTCCTCCTAATCCTCTCTGATTCAAACACCTCTTCATTTCAGATGTTTTCAACCAACACCATTGCTGCCTAACCAATTTCTGCTTTCTTCCACCTACAACGCATTGCCCGTCTCCACCAATACCTCTCCCCAAAAGCTGCTGAAACCCTAGTCCATGCCTTTGTCACCTCTCGGCTGGACTACTCTAACGCCCTCCTCGCCGGTCTCCCATCCACTACCATCCATAAAATCCAAATCATTCAAAATTCTGCCGCCCGCGTTCTCATCCGCACGAAACTCCGCTCCCCGATCACCCCAGTCCTTGCCAGACTGCACTAACTCCCTATCCCAGAGAGGATCGATTTCAAGATCCTCATCCTTGTATTCAAGTCCCTGCGCTCCTCTGCACCCCCCTACCTCTCTGACCTCCTCTCTCCTCACAACAGTGCCCGTTTCCTTCGTTCCTCCGGTGTGACCTCCTCCTCGTCCCCCGAGTCCTCCGATCCACCCTCGGCGGCCGTGCCTTCAGCAACTATGCCCCGAGGCTCTGGAACTGCCTTCCTCACTCCCTTTGTCTCGCTCCCTCCCTTCCCACTTTCAGATCTCTGCTGAAGACCTTTCTTTTTGACCGTGCCTTTGGTCACCTTCCTTCCCCCCTCGGCTTGGTCCCGGGATCCATTACTGTAAAGCGCTCTGAGACGCCGTCCGGCGCGGAGGGTGCTATATAAATCCAAATTGTTGTTGTTCTGCTCATTTCTCCCCTCTTCTCTCGGCCCTCAATTGTACTTTCCACAAGAATAACCTCACCTGCATTCATGACCATTCCATACACGGCAGAGAAGGGAATTAAGCGTATTTGAGGTGTGGGTTTGTGGAGTATAAAACATGTGAATGGACCTGTTTCCATCCCATATCCATTCTATGTAATTCCCTTGATCTGGTAATTACACAGTGCCTCTCCATCTCTGACAAAGCCATCTCTGATCACGTCATTTACCTTACCTCCCTCACCCCACTTCCTGCCAACAAACCGGCTACCATCACTTTCTGCCCCAGAAAAAAAGAACCTGCCACTCCCTCACAACCTCCGACAGTTCCACTGAATCCCTGTTGCTCTAGCCTGCTGCCTAACCTGAACTTACCTCCTCCATTCGTCTTCGACAAAACTCTCTCACTACCCTGCTCAATTCCAAGTTTCCTCTCACCACCACAAATTCCCTAGTATAACTCCATCTCTACTCACTAAGTCCCTGCATCCAGCTCTTTGACCTATGCTGCTGAACCATTTGGCTTAAATCTGGTTTTGCGATACATTGTCAAACCTGGTTGGACCACGAAAGACTATCTCCGCCCTCGCCTCTGCTAAATTTGCCTTTTACTCCAGGATCATCCTGGAGGCCAAGGGCAACCTACAGCTCCCGATTTCCCTCAACTGTCAACCTCCTCCATACTCCCTCCAACTCCAAATATGAGCAGGTTCAAAATCCAGCAGATTTGCTTAGTTGTCTCCATTACCCCAATTCTCCATCCTTCCTCTGAGCATGCAGTCACCCGTTTTCTACACCTTCAACCCCGTTTCTCCCTCATCCCTCTTCTCCCTCATCTGTCTCCTGTAAGAAACCCACCACCTGCTTCCTTCACCCCCATCCCTACACTGCTCCTGGTAACCCAACTTCTGTTCCTAATTCCCTTGTTAGCTAACATCCAACCTCTTCCTCTCCAGTGACACAGAAAAGAGCTTCTAAAAAGAAAAGAGGTTTCACCCCCAGAAGCTCTCTCTTGACCCTTTCATATTCTCCAGCTACTTATGCATCAGGATCTCATTGGATTAAAAAATATATTTAGAATTGTAGGGACTGTATTTTAAGAATTCGCTATATAATTTGAAAATATTTGTCTTCCTTGCACTGTTTTATATATGAAGAAAGTATTAATTTTCCACTCTTGGTGCAAATAATGGTGTTTCCTACCATGCTGTGCCTGTTGCTGTAATATGTTAAAATACTACATATATTTTATATTCAATCTATTCCTTAGTGAATGTTTAATGATTCTTCTTATTCAGTTATCACTGCCAACCATTTATTTGCCAGGAATTATTCTCAGTTGCAGCTGGATGGTGTGTGAGCTGAATACCAAGAACCCATATGAATTTCCTAGAGTTGATCCCTGACATGTGACAGTGCTGCTTCCGTAGGTGATTTTAGGAGACCTTGGTGTCATAGATATTCTGCCACACTTGCATGGAATAAGCAGGGAATATTGCACAATTTGAAGATAATAATAATAATAATAATAATTCTTGCATTTGATATAACGTCTTATCACATCTTCGAGATGTCTCACAGAGCTCCGAGCTTCCAAGTGAATTGACTATATATTTTTGTAGGCGAAACGCGGCAACCAATTGCGCACACCAGTGTCCCACAAACAGTCATGGATTGCCCGTCTCCGCCAATACCTCACTCCAAAAGCCGCTGAAACCCTGGTCCATGCCTTTGTCACCTCTCGGCTGGACTATTCAAATGCCCTTCTCGCCGGTCTCCCCTCTACTACCATTCACAAAATCCAGGTCATCCAAAACTCTGCTGCCCGCTTTTTTACCCGCACCAAACTCCGCTCCCCGATAACCCCAGTCCTTGCCAGACTGCACTGGCTGCCTGTCCCTGAGAGGATCGACTTCAAGATCCTCACCCTTGTCTTTAAATCCCTCCATTCCTCTGCACCCCCCTAACTCTCTGACCTCCTCTCACCTCACAACAGTGCCCGTTGCCTTCGCTCCACCGGGTCTGGCCTCCTCCTTGTCCCCCGAATCCTCTGCTCCACCATCAGCGGCCGTGCCTTCAGCCACTACCCCCCGAGGCTCTGGAACTCCTTTCCTCACTCCCTTCGCCTCGCCCCCTCTCTTCCTATTTTCAGGTCTCAGCTGAAGACCTTTCTTTTCAACCGCACCTTTGGTCACTTCCCACCCCTCCCCCTGGCTCAGCCCCAGGATCCATTACTGTGAAGCGCTCTGAGACGCTGTCCGGCGTGGAATGCGTTATATAAATCCAAGTTGTTGTTGTTGTTGATTGAGTGATGATTCTATAGGAAATATTTTTGAAGCCACAATACAAAAGAACATTTGATCTCTGTTTCAAAAAAATCTAATTGATACTAACTGTTTACACCCCAATTAGGCTGCCCACAAACGGCCAACATAAATTTTAAATTAGGCTTTTTTAATTTTCTCAAATGTCTTAAGATAGCCACATATGCAGTATTTAACTAATTATGTGGATTTCTGTAGCGTATTGGTTAGAGCACTCGCCTCGCAAGCAAGAGGACCTGGGTTTGATTCCCCCTGGGTGGGGCAAAATGTTTGGCACGTTTCCTTACTCCACGTGCCTCTATTTACATAGCAGTAAGTAGGAACCTGATTGTTAGTCGATCACTTTTCTGGGGGTAATAATCACTTCATAAATACATAAATAATAATAATAATAATAATTCTGTCACTCAATCCATGACTATTTCTGGGATACCTCTGTGCGTAATTGGCTACCGTGTTTCACTGACACCATATACATATATTGAAAGTGGATTGACTGTGTGTTTTGCGAGAGAAATCTTCCCATTTTAAAACAAAAATCTACAGGGCATGTTACTGTATCACTTTGTTAAACACTAATGTACAACTCTTTTTCTTAGAATTGGTTGGACCCTGCCAAAGAAATCAAGAAACAAATTAGAAGTACGTGCATTATTTTGTTAATGTTCCATAGTGTACCTGACAAAAGTAACCATCCATTCAATGCCTATTCGTATCCACATTAATCACTGTGTTCCAATAATCGTTGTAATTATATTGAGCGCATTTTTGATGCAGTCCCAAAGTTTACAAGGCTTTTGATTTTTGACCCTAGAGCTTGGTGTTTTGATTATATTAAAAAGAATGTCAAATTGAAACATTTATCAGATGTAAAATTTATGATTTTCAAAAATAGTTTATTTTTAGAACAATCAAATAACAATAAAAATTGCCAGTATAATTTATTGTAATATCACAATCTGTTTTAGCTTGAAATACTGACCAGTTATAATCAGAAGGTCAAATCAATGTTAATAGGCAACTTGATCCAGAGCCTTGGGACTTCCTCCCGACGTGAAAGGCGCTATAGAAATGTAATCTTGTTGTTGTTGATTAGCAAACCATTGTCAAAAATTTCTTTGGTTTGTGATCAGCACACTAGATTGAATACCTCATGAGAGCTGATCACTTCTGTTTTGGCGATCAAAATAAATTCAGGGACAGCTATAACGTTTCTCTCCTATTCCTTTCAATCTTTCCTCTATTGGTTGTCATGAAGGAAGTTGGGGGGAGGAAGAGAGACGGGATGGTGGCAGCAGGGGAAACACCATAAAGAATTAACAGGCAAAGCCTTCCCCATTTTTCTATTTATAGGATGATAGTTGGAAGTCACAAGGAAAAAATTCAGTAAAAAGTGGATAAATTGGTAAAAATAGAAAAGGCTACATCAGAATCTGCATGCTTACTCTCATCCGCTGCTCTTCTCCCATTTGTTACGCTTTATACGTACTTTCTTCAAGAAACTATCACATCTGGAAACAATTTGTAAAAAAATTCTTCTAAGCTTTCCTTTATGTTTTTAGTAATGGATAATTTTGGCAGTTGAGAATACAAAATGCTATACAATATTCGTATATTTTTTTTGCCAACAAGCCGATAACTTTTAAATTTATTTACAGTTAACTGGTGATGGAAGCTTTAATATTCTGCATTATTGCTAATTTGGGGGTTCAAAGCAGCTCTTATAGTTCTGCATGTGCCACTATTATTCCATATGATATGGAACAATAGATTCACAAACATTTAGTAAATTTGTTTAAATTGCAGTATCCTCCTTAGTCATAAAAGTACTATTTTGCAGGTTGGCCATGGCAGTTTGCATTCAATGTAAAATTCTACCCTCCAGATCCTATACAGCTGACTGAAGACATCACAAGGTAATTGTTAAGTATGAGTAATTTAGAGAAAACTTGATGGAAATTAGTCATTAAAGTGACCTTCAGTAATCATTACAAATGTTAAATGAAAAATATTCAAAGCATTTATTTATTTCAACTAGTAGAATACACAATGGGTAATGGAATACCATTTCTGTCCCACTTGGTTATGAGTGGGATTAAAGCAGTACTTTACCCTTGATGTAATGATAGCTGAGCATTCCATAAATGCTGGAAATCTGAAATAAAACAATGAGAAATTCTGGAAATGTACAGCTTGTTAAATGGCATCTGAAAGAGAAAGACAGTGTTTCAGGTATGTTCCTTTTTCTCAGGGATCATATTTGCCTTTCTCTCTCCTGCAACCAATTATTTCATTCCATGAAGACTCACACCCAAATTGTTTTCTCTTTCAGATGCTAATTCACCTGCTGTGTATTTTTGCATTTATATTTGTTAATTCAATTACAGGAAACTGATAACTCGTCACTCCAAGGGAAATGGGCTCAGTGACCAGCTATTTGGAGTGGAGAGTTAGGCAAATGTCTAAATACATAAATAAATGCAGCCAGGACATAGATAGCATGATGACTTAAGTGGTAGTGACAAGTTAAGCTAGGGTGGAAATATCAGGAGTTTACTGTAATTGAAAAGATAAAAGCTATTCTACTCAGCAAGTTGAGTTGATTACTTGCACAAATATATATATTTATGTAGCCTTCCGACAAATATATATATTTGTGTAGCCTGTCCTCCCGATGTGAAAGGCGCTATACAAATGTAATTTTGTTGTTGTTGTTGTATATGACAGCCAGATGTACGAACTTATTAATTTCATGAAGATCCATGAAAAGATCCATTTCTTGATAACACTCAAGACACTATGAGTTCTCCGAATTTATTCAGAAACAGATCCTTTGAATTTGAATTAATTCATTATTAATACCTAGCACTGTGGTTGTATGTGGGAAGTTACTGTGTTTGCACACAGTAACACACTTGACTGCCCCATTCACCTATAAGAACATAGTCATTGCACTTCTCAGAAAACTGAAGCACTTTGAGCAATGTGGTAAGGCGCTAAATCGAATTCAAGGATCATTATTAGACATTGAAAGAAAATTAGAGTATGTGGTGTTGCAGTGAAAAGGGATTTCAAAGTATCCGATTGCATTTTTGAATGGAAACTGTTGTCAGTGGAGTTTATATTTCAGATTATTCATTGAATGATCAACCAGTTAATTTCAGTAAATTGATGAATAGGACAGAACTAGTTAGAGCTGTTACAGTACAATAATATTAAGATTGTGAAAATTAGCTTTTGTAGTAATGAAGACTACTTTTCCTCTCTTCCCAGGTATTACTTGTGTCTTCAACTCCGTCAAGATATCATATCTGGCCGTTTACCATGTTCTTTTGTAACTCATGCCCTCCTTGGTTCTTTCACCTTGCAAGCTGAACTTGGGGACTATGACGAAGATGAACACAGAGCAGATTATGTTTCAGAGTTCCAGTTTGCTCCAAATCATACAAAAGAATTGGAAGAAAAAGTGGTTGAACTTCATAAAACACACAGGTGCAAGTTAATGTCCTGTTTCATATGCTTACAACAATAAAGTCAATTTGTGTTTAGTGATTTCCATTGATGTGAGCAATCATAATGGAATGGAAAGTAGCAAGGATATCCCTGGAGGTTTTGAGTCTAGGTACAAATATAGAATAGTTGGCTCCAGCAGATGAGACAGTTTAGGCTCAAGAGGCTATGTGACTTCTTATTTCTAAGGTTCTAAAGTGCTTTGAAACATCCTCCTGACGTGAAAGACCCTATTCCGAATATAAACATTATTATTTAAATATTTGAAGGAACAGATTATTTTATCTGGAGGTTAACTAGAGATTTCATAGAACAAAAGAAAATATAGGTATATACCATAATCTAGTAGCATCTTTTAACATTTATTGGCTTGTTTTTATTTCAGGGGTCTAACTCCAGCACAAGCTGATACTCAATTTCTGGAAAATGCCAAGAAACTCTCCATGTATGGTGTAGATCTGCACCATGCCAAGGTAATTATTAACAATCCTGAGGGAGAAAAAAAAATTGTAATCATAGAACTTGTTGGATTGTAATATAAACACTTAATTTTGTGCAGCATGAATGCTAAACATAATGAACATTTCCATTCAAACCAGTTGGCTATATATCAATTTGCTTCTAAAATTACACTTTTGGCAGCTGAGTCATATTTCATGCATTGAAATAAGTGTATGAAAGTCGAGTATTGATTCAGTGTTGTGTAAAAAAAAGAATCAGAACCATTGTAATTGAAATATTCTGATATTTTTGTTGGCTCTGTGTAAAGCAGCACCCCTTAATGAGAGTAGGAGAATATTTCTGTATTCCATCAAAGTACCAGTTTTGTAAAATATTTTGAGGTTGCAAAATTAAGGCCTCATTTTAACTTCAGTTTTTTTATATATTATCAATTTTTATTTATTCAGTTTAAGAAAAATAAATGCAAAAATACAGAAGGACGAAATTGTGAGAGAGATAACTTTATAAGACATCATGGCAGCTTGAACATTGCTGTGTGCTCTCCCCTTGACCCCAAGGACATAACATTAATGTCTCACACAATTGACCAGGTGTTTATTCAGCATCAACATTGTTTATTCTGCATCAGCAAAGCCACACTGTAGACTGGTAAAGTCCCAAATTTGATTCTCAGTCTGTGCTGTGAACTAAAAATTAAGTAAGTACTTCGAGCACTACAGTTGGATTTGAGAACTCAAGTTAAGAAAATCCAGATAAGCCTAGATTATCCTGCTGCTGATGGCTATCCAACAGTCACTACTTGGAGGTGTGTGTAGCCATCAGACTTGCATTGATGGCTCCCAGCCACCACCACCCCCCCCCACCGGATGACTGGTTATGGATGAATAGGGAGATGCTGAAGGGTCATTTGTGTTCATGGACTATGATCTCCGTTAAAAGTTGTTGTCTTCATATAGCGAGGGAAGTAAATTGGTAAGGAGAAGATGTTTTTTCCTATGAAGTAACATAAAAGAAGTACTTTTATTACTGATTTCTTTACTGATATTTTAATTATGCTTTCGCAACATCATTTTAATTACGTTACCAACTACTATGAACATTGTTTTATGAATCTATTTTTGGTTGTTTTTACATTGTTGATCATCAATACATTTTAATATTTACCTGGACTGAACTCCATACCTCCATCTCACCAGTTCTGCCAGGCTACACTGGCTCCCCATCACCAAATAGATGGACTTCAAGATCCTCAAACTCTTAAAATCCCTTCAATCCCTGGCACTCCCTACATCTCGCACCTCGTCACTCCCCAATCCACCACCCAGCGCCTCCGCTCGACTAGCACCATCCTCCTTGTTCCCTGCGCTCTCCGCTCCACCATTGGAGGTCGCGCATTCAGCCACTAAGGCCCGAACCTCTGGAACACTCCCTCAATCCTTCCGCCTCGTTCCCCTCGCCCCTTTTTCAAGTCCTTTTTGACCATCTTTACACTCTCCTCCGCCCCCCGCCCCAGGAGTCAGGCTCCACCACTATTAAGCGCTCTGAGACGCTAGTTGTTTGACCACTAATATTGTTTTTGTGTATTGATTTTTATCTAGGATTCAGAAGGAGTGGATATTATGTTGGGTGTGTGTGCCAATGGACTGCTTATCTACAAGGATCGGCTCCGGATCAACCGCTTTGCTTGGCCTAAAATTCTTAAAATTTCTTACAAACGAAGCAATTTCTATATTAAAATTCGACCTGGAGAGGTAAGACATTACCACTAATACTTAGTGTTAATAGTTTATGATTTAAATTTTCATTTTTATTAAAGGCTGACCAAAGATGCAACTTCCAAAACTCTTGGGGTGCAATTCTGAAAAATCAGCTAAGTAAGTATCAGTGTATTGTTCATGCTTCCTAACTTATAAGTAGGACTTCTGTTTTTCGGGTTTAAAAATTTAATTTTTCGGGATTTATATCTAGTATTCCAGTTTTAAAAGATTGTGGTCTATCAGGGTTTTCACTTACTTGTAATGAGAAGATTTAGATGCGACTTGCACACAGAGGAGAGAGAGGTGTCTTCATGCAATGCACAATGCCTCCCTCCTCTCAAATGTGTCACACGCCTGCGCACACAGAAATGAGAGGCGGAGAAAGAGAGTAACAATGCACAGTTGATGTCAGGACAGGTAACCATTTACAGCGTTTTCCTTTTTTTTATAAACACCAAATTCATTATTTTTTCATTGTTAAAATCGAAAATCAGAACCTCTATTTATAAGCTGCAACAAAAATAAACAAGAGAACCTTGTTAGTGCCCTCCTCTAGAGCGCTGCCTCTCGTATAGCTCACGTAGTCCCTTGGTAACGGGAAGTATGGTACATCTGATTTCTGGTACTCATTTACTGCTTGGATCATCTGATTATCATGCAGGTAAATAAACATATTTGGCATGAGAATAAACTTGAGTTCTATTGTACATTATTTTTATTTGGCATCTTGACTGGTGGACCACCATTTAGATTCCTTAAATCTAATACTACCACTTATTGGTTGAGGTCCCAGTAATAAAGTCTCACGCTATTAAAATTATACGTATGTGGGAAAGAATTTCAGGTCAATGCATTTTACATATCCATCAATTGATTCATTAAGTTGTAAAGCTATAATTGAATAACAACACACATGCATGTGCACAATTAGCAGCATACTGATCAAATTAAGCACTGTATCTGTAATCTCTTTCATTTGGCATAGTCTAAATTCACTCTTATGGGTCAGGTTACTGTACTGCAGAATGCTGCTGCCTTTGATTAATCTGCTCACATTCACAATAGTAGTTCCTGTAAAGTATTAGGTCTCCCATTCTGCTTGTTAAAAGGATCTGATTTAATTGCACTGATTCTTACCAGATGGAGCAGTTTGAAAGTACTATTGGTTTCAAGTTACCTAACCACCGAGCTGCAAAAAAATTGTGGAAGGTTTGTGTGGAACACCACACTTTCTTCAGGTAAAGTTTTCTTGTTATTGTTTAATAGTTTAACCAATGAAAGATAACTTGAATTTGCCAAATTTCACATATCCAATCCTGATATGAGCAACTTTGTGAGGAATAAAATGCAACCTAACACTTATTGGACCATTTGTTTAATTTGCAAGTTGATTTGTTTTAACAAACTGTGAAGATAACAGATTGTCCCTTTGCATTGTCATTTTCCTGTTCCTCTACACACCAATAGAGATGAGAATTACTATTCAGTTTGGGAATAATGATAAGAACTAAATTTTCCTTTTTAATATGGTGATATTATTTTGGGAATATTCATATTTTCTTTGTCACTCAAGGGTGCCTGTGACACTATCCCAGATGATCTATGAGGATCCACTGCCTGTGATTCTTAAGAAATAAACAGGGAAGATAATGATGGTTTGATAAGACTGAGTTTTTGAGTCATAAAAAAGGCAGACCATAAAATATCATATCTGTTTCTTCCCAGAACCTCAAGAAAATAACAAGATAAAATGTCATTTATATAGTACCTTTTTGACATCAGGAGAATGTCACAAAATTCCACTCTATCCTTCATCTCTCCAACAATCTGCAAGCGTTTGAAAATTACTGTTTGATTCTTCTTATCCAGTGCCTTGGGATGTCCTCCCGATGTGAAAAGCGCTATACAAATGTAATTTTATTGTTGTCGTGCTCTTTTAAGCCTTAATATCCTGCTCAGTAGGTCTCGACTTTTCACCCAGCTTTCTCAATAAAAGAGTTTGAAACCAAAGCAGCTAGTATTTGTACTGAACAATCCTTATCCAAGTGTGAATTCATATACACTTCAAAAAGATTAAGAAACATAGAGAAGGACGTTCAGTGTAAAATGCAACCCTTTTGAAGTAATGTGAAAAATGGTTGGAAAGTAGTGGAAAGTTTGAATTTCTTTCATAAGTATATACAGCTGATCCCTAACTCCTATTACTGACTATTGCATCATTTTGATAAAACTACATCCCCGCTTTTGGATTTAGTTGCACCACAGAATTGGGGTCAAAACTTGTAAATTGCAGAACAAAACCTATTATAAGGATTTAGAACCATTTGAAATATTTCCAAGACCACCTAAAATTAATACCAATTAAGCCTCCTGCAGGAATGTTTGGGAATTGTAATTGAGGTGGGGGGTGGGGGGGGAAATATTGATCCTTGTGCTGTGTCAGTGTTAGAATAATAACAATAATAATAATCCTTGCATTTGATAGAGCGCTTTTCACGTCGGGAGGACGTCCCAAAGTGCTTCACAGAACACACTGTAAAGTGAATTGACTGTATATTTGTGGGCGAACGCGGCAGCCAATTGCGCACAGCAATGTCCCACAAACAGTCGTAGATTGAAAATGACCAATTTATTATTGTTTTTGGAGGGATTATTATTAGGCGTGTGGAGTAAGGAAACTTGCCCAAGGTTTCACCCTGCCTGGAATTGAACTCAGGTCTCTCACTTGCAAAGCGAGTGCTCTAACCACTGAGCTACAGAATAAAATTGGTATCATACTTTCCCATGTTAACACAGGCTCTAAACTTTGCCCTCACAGTGGCTGGGAAGGAGCTTCAAGACAAGTGCCAGGCCTTGAGTTTTGCCCCTACTGTCATCCTCAGTGGCCAGGCATGGGTTGGGCTACAGAAGGGCCAGTGGTATCAGGTGCCAGCCATAAAAGATAGCACCAGACATAACCATTAACAACATTATTCAGAAGCTGTATTTAATGGGTGGAAAATCCACTGCATAGTAAAGTACAGCACTCCTGGTTCAACCAAATGTTGTCGGGAGATATAGTTCCAATACCGCATTACTTGGACTACATTACCTGGTGAGGAGGTAAAGTGTGAGAAAGTGTTTCATAACCATATTCAAAAAAAGGATGTTTTTTTGCTAAAGCCTAGTTATTGAATTTTCTTTTAAAAAATGATTTGGTTCATTCGTACACATTCATTTACTGTGCAGTAAAGAATTTAGTTCTGACCTTACAAAATAAATCTTAACTTTTGATGTATATAGATTGGTGTCTCCTGAGCAACCTCCAAAGACCAAGTTCCTGACGTTAGGTTCAAAGTTCCGCTACAGTGGTCGAACCCAAGCTCAGACACGACAGGCAAGCAACCTCATAGATAGGCCTGCACCATATTTTGAGCGTACTTCAAGCAAACGAACATCGAGAAGTCTTGATGGAGGTAGGTTGAGATTTTGGGGCAATATTGAATTTTAGAATTTGTATAGATATAAGGATCACATACCACCAGCTGTATTACCAGATCTCAGCCTAAAACCAAACCATTGACTCTTCAACCTAGGCGTCAGGTTCGACCTCCAATTATCCATCCTCCCCCGCATCCGGTCCCTCACCAGCACTGCTTTTTTTCACCTCCGATGCATCGCCCATCTCCGCCAACACCTCATGCCAAAAGCTGCTGAAACCCTGGTCCATGCCTTTGTCACCTCTCGGCTGGACTATTCAAATGCCCTCCTCACCGGTCTCCCCTTCACTACCATCCATAAAATCCAGGTCATCCAAAACTCTGCTGCTCGCTTTCTTACCCACACCAAACACCGCTCCCCGATAACCCCAGTCAGACTGCACTGGCTGCCTGTCCCAGAGAGGATCAATTTGAAGATCCTCATCCTTGTCTTCAAATCCCTCCACTCCTCTGCACCCACCTAACTCTCCGACCTCTCTCCTCACAACAGTGCCCGTTGCCTTCGCTTCAGCGGGTCTGGCCTCCTCCTTGTCCCCCGAATCCTCCGCTCCACCATCGGCCACTTCAGCCTCTACTCCCCGACGCTCTGGAACTCCCTTCCTTCGTCTTGCTCCCTCTCTTCCTATTTTCAGGTCTCAACTGAAGACCTTTCTTTTCAACTGCGCCTTTGGTCACCTTCCTTCCCCCTCCCCCTGGTTCGAGCCCGGGATCCGTTACTGTGAAGCGCTCTGAGACGCTGTCCGGCGTGGAGGGCACTATATAAATCTAAGTTGTTGTTGTTCAAATGCTGGGCTGATTGTAGAATGTTGTAGAATGTTGAGAAAATAAATATGTTCTAGCAAGAATATCAGCGGAGTCCTGTAGCTCAGTAGTTAGAGCACTCGCCTCGCAAGCGAGATACCTGGGTTTGATTCCCGGCAGGGCGAAACGTTGGGCAGGTTTCTTTACTCCACATGCCTGTTTACCTAGCAGTGAATAGGAACCCAGTTGTTAGTCAATTGGTGGATCACCTTTCCGGGGTAATAATTCCTTAAAAAAAAATTGGCCACTTAATCCACAACAGTTTGTGGTTCTCTGCTGTGTGCAATTGGCTGCCGTGCTTCGCCCACAAAATATACAGTCAATTCCCTTTACAGTATATTCTGTGAAGCGCTTTGAGACGTCTCAAAGACATGATTAGGTGCTATACCAAATGCAAGGATTATTATTGTCATCCCCTTCCCTCCCCTCCCTTCTCCCCCCCTCACCCCAGCTTGGGTCTGAAATGCTGTACACTGTCCAGCGCCTTGGGACATCCTCCCGACGTGAAAGGCACTATACAAATGTAATCTTGTTGGTGGTGGTGTTGTTATCAAGTCAGTATGTCAGTCTAGAACCAGTCACGTTCTGCAGTAGTTTACCTAGGTATGCAGACCCAAATCTTCTCTGATTGATATCAACTGGAGCTTCATTCAAATTAATTTAAAGTAACAGCTCTTTGCCTGTACCTTTGCTTAGCTCTTTCCTTCCTCTTGCTTGGTGATACCCATTGTGTTTGCAAAGTCATTCAAAATGTTTATCTACCCGAAAAATCCCCTTTACTTCAATTCACTTTACAGTATATTCTGTGAAGCGCTTTGGGACGTCCTCTCGACGTGAAAAGTGCTATATCAAATGCAAGGATTATTATTATTATTATTTATGTTCAAATTGATTTTGGTAGTGCTCATTTTAGTCTGGATTATAAATGAAGGAAAATTTTCCTGCACGTTTGTAAAAGTGACTTTGTGTATTTGGTGCTAGTCTTGAAATAAAGTTTTAAGAGTAAAGTGAAGTAATGTTTGTTCATTTTTGTGACAGCTCCAGTAGACACCATGAATGATGTGCAGGATTCTTCTACTCCAGCAGTTTCTCAGAGCTCCACAGCAGAGGTCACTGTTACAACCACTGATGAAAAGACAGCAGCAAAGGACAAAACCACTCCTTTCAAAACTGCCCAGTTAGACATGCCTGTGGAAAAGGTACTGTGCATGCATCTGAAATATATATGTTTATAAGTTTTGCTGCTTCAATATTCAATAATTAGTACATGCACATTTTGTCACTGAAATGGATGAAGTATTGATCAGCAATGAACATAATATGCAGCAATGGAATTATTGGTTTTAACTATTTTGATGCTGCAACATTTACTTTGTCGGGTTGTTGGGACTGCTAATTTCTCTTACTGGCTTGATGGATAAAACATGTCAAAGATTGACTGGGATGCAACAATATCAGGACTATGTCAATCAGCAATATCTAGAATTCTGATTTTCTTAATTAGGTCTGATTTCTAGTCTCAAGCTCTAAACTCATTCCACTTATTGGTAGCCCAAGGGTAAAGAGTTACTCAGCCCTTGCTCTCCTCACCAACCTCGACCCCACTACAAGAAACAAAAACAACTTGCATTTACATAGCGCCCCTCATGTAGGGTAGTATCCCAGAGCACTTGATGGTGGCAGAGCATGACACCGAGCTGAGAGGAGGGGTTGGTGACCGTAGGCATGGTCGAAGAGGAAGGTCTTCAGGTGCGACCTCAAAATGGGGAAGGAGGGGGCAAGGCGGAGTGATAGAGGAAGAATGTTCCAGAGTTTTGGGTCATAGTGGCTGAAAGTATAGCCACCAATGGTGGAATGGAGGGCACGAGGGACAAGTAGGAGGCTGGAGCCAGTCGAGCACAAAAGTCAGGAATGAGAAAAGACCATTTCTTCCACCAAAAGGCCATAATTTTCCCATCATGGTAATTAATTATAATTTGAATTCCCCAAATCTTCGTATTCCTATCCTCTTGTTTGGTAAATTGCAACAGTTATTCCTTTGAGTACATAATTTAATAATATTATTACAGAATTTTCACCTGGTACCAGTTCTAAATTTACTGTTTATAATTTCCTTCAAAATGTTAAACAAAAAAGGCATGTAAGAGAGATAGGATGGTGCAGAGACCTTTCTCTTGGACCTGCTCTAAGATTTATCTCAGCCTAAAATTAAAAAAAAATCCAAGGCAAAAAATCCTGTGAGAACTGCACCTTGTAGTTTCAAGATTTAGCAGCATTGAGTTTATTTTGTGCTTGTTCAGCACTTCGGTGGCAAGCATGCATTATTCTTCACTTTTACGTAATTTAGCCATCAGACCTTATAAATGGTACAGTAATACACAAATAATTTTAGTTTTCAAAATAGTTAATTGGTGAATGAAAGGAAGGAACCAATAACAAAAGTATTTCCTTTCAGTTGGGAGAATTTTTTACTCATTCGTCTTTATCATGTCTTATAGCTGGAGTAAATCTTCCTCCCACTTTTCAATCACAAACAAGCATGTATTGATTTTTTCTTGAAGAAAGGTGATAAACATTGGGAAAAATATACCTCTCGTGTTAAAATTGAATTAAACGAGGCAGGGAAGAGCCGAACAAGCCACAAAGGATTAGAGAAAATAGGAAAACCAATAACAGATATCAATATCAAAAGTCGCTTTTAAGTAGGAAAGTTGTTATGTTTTTCAACTTTGTCAAACTGGAAACTGCTTTTCTCAGGTTTTCCAGATTTTCATGGAAGAGCTCGTCTTTCAGATTTGTTGCCAATAAACTGCCTTGTGGTCAAATGAGCACAATGAATAGAATTGCTATAAGTGATAAATAACTGAATATAACTGTAAAATGGTGACTAACCTGTTTAATTATCATGGGTCAAGTGCTGATATAAAATTCCAAGATACACATAAAAGTTAATGAAACAGAACATTGACTTGTACCGTAGTTGAATTTAGTAAATAGTAACAAACCAGTTTCCTTTTCATAAACTAGTCAATGGTTGGAAAGGTTTCTGTTCTGCAGGAATGGAATTGACAGTTAAATAGTAACCAACATAAAATATAATGAAAATCCTTTATACAAAACCTCAGTATGCTTGCTTGTTTTCCCTTTGTTGTGTGTATACACCCTGACACCATCTTGCAAAGCTAAAGTTGTTGTTTCCATTTGTATAAATTTGTAGCACTTCTTGAGTGACTTGCTTTCTGACTAACATTGTTTCTCTCCTTTTCCTTTCTGTACACTCTATGCTTTCTTGAACATATACATTTATACATTTCAATTGTGTTTTAATTTAGTTCCATTACATATATCCCTCATCACCCACATATTCCCTCTCTCTGAATCTCTTTTCGATTCCAGAGGCAGATTTTTTCTCAGACATTTCAGAGGACAGTCTATTTTCAAGTGGGGAATTTGACGAAGATTATATTTTTGAATCTAGTTCCTCCAATCATAGCTTACACATAGCATCTCTAGAGCCTGAAGATGACCTTCCAGTTACTCCTGTTACTCCTGTTCATTGCCCGGATCCTATATTCACTACATCTGCTCAGGTTCCTCATCCTTTAATACTTCAGAAGGAAATAGAAGTTGACTCAATTCCTACAGTAAACACATCAGGTCTTGCATTGCTTAATCTATTTAAATGTTTTCCTCCTAAATTCCCTTCACTGCTTGATGAAGATGGTTATATCAGTTTTCCCAGTCTTCCTGATGACTGTGCTGCTATGATTCCACTACGTTTTCAAAAGTACATTCCAATCACTTCTCCATCCCTTATTCCCTCCATAATCCTCATTTTTGTGCTGCTTCTCTCTGCATCACAGTCTGTCCCCTTCTCACTCACCCTTTCCCTTCCTCTTGCTCTCTCTCTCTGCTACCTGGAGCCTAAGGCGACCTCATTAAATGCCTGTTATGCCAATGACCTGAATGAGAAAGCAGAGGAAGAGAAGGTGTGTAATATTGTCGGTTAATGCCTAGTATTAAAAAAAAATGCATTTGAGTTAGACACCTGGAAATGTAATTGTTAATGTGCCTGATTTGGGGGACGTGGGGGGGAATAGGATGGGCGTAAGTTAAAATTTGGGCTAACATTGAATAAAGGTTATGTTCTATAGTTGCTGAAACATCAAATAAAAAAGGCAACCTTATATTGCTTAATTGTGTGCTATTTGGGATCTACAGACAAGTTGAGCTGGGATGGGGGAGTAGTTAATTGCTCATGGTAAACCCTTTGCACCATTTTACCTTTCAACTACAATTAAGCAGATGTTTTCTTCTCTGTTTCATGGTTTATAAACCACAATGAACATTGATGCACTAAATCTATATCTAACTTTTTTAAAAATTAATTGTACAATATGAAATCTGTACCTAAAGCAAAATCACATTGGTCAAATAAACCACTAAAGGTTACAAGTACTGTATGTCCATTGTAGTGAAGCTACATTTGGAGATAAGAACTGGCCTACCAGAACTGTACGACAGGTGGTGCTGTTTCACTTGAGACCAGATGATGATAACTAAATACATATAGCAGTGATTTTCTTTTGCCTCATTTTTCCTTCTTCCCCATTCTGTAAAAATTCTAGATGAGATAAAACATTTTATTGTTGGGTTAATGTGAACACCATTGTGTCACTTAAATAACTTCTAAAATTACTTCAGAAATATATTTCCTTGTCAGACGAGGTCTTGTTCTTAAGAAAATGGGCATGATCGAACTGTCTAAATGAGCATGGATGTATAGAGCAACATTATATAGGAAACTTAATGATGTTAACAGGTTTGACTCCTAGTCATAAATGTCTCTTTCTTCTCATTTCCCATCCTCCTCCCCCAAAAGGGCATGCTTTTAATTGTTTTCATTTCATGTCTGTAATAACCATTTCACAAGATCAGAATTTCCCCAAATATGATGAGTGAGTTTATTTCACTGGGTGGTTGATTTCTTTCGATAATTTTTTTTCAATATCAGATGAGGTATCGATGAGTTTCTGATAATTATGCATGATTGATGCTGACCTTTGGTCTCAATAAATGGAGGATCTCAGTGTTTCTTAGAATTACTTCAGATACTATGAATAATAAATTAATAAACTTAACATATTACAGTCACTAAGAAACAGTTTGCTAAAAAGAAATCACAATCTCTCCATTCTTGCAACTTTTAAAAAAACACACATGGTCCCATTTTGGTTTCAAATAACAGTTGGGACATGTGTTTAGTTCTGAAGCTGTATGATTGCTCATGATTTCTTTTCAAGCCTTTATATTTTGCTTACAGATTATTGTGAATATAATTTGCATTTCAAATGTTTCTATTGTTAGGAAAACAACAACATCTTGTTTTTATATAGTGCCCTTCACGCCAGACGGTATCTTGCAGTGCTTAATAGGCAGAATATAGTATTTCTGTCAAGAGCAATATAATAGACTTACTTATTACTTAAGCAAATACAATGCAACATCACAATACAAAATTACACTTGTATAAGTTTTTCATATCGGGAGGATGTTCCAAGGCGTTGGGAAGGGTAAGGTAAGGTTGTAGGTAAAGTTGAAATTGGTAAAATAGATAATGTTGAAATTGGTAAAAGATCTTTCATTAGCGCACTGCCCAAGTTATATTACTTTGATTTCCAAGTATTCAAAATCTGCTTTAATGCACAGATTTTAGGGTAGTTTTTATTTCTGTTTATAGAATTAGCCAAAAAATCAATAAAAAAGGAATCAAATCGTAATGTTGGTAGCGATTGCTGCTCGTTTGTCTTTGCATCTCTTTTCCCCCCAAATTAAAGAAAATCTATTTTTACACATCAAAACACTAATGTTTTTGAACCGTGGTAGTTTGTGAAGTTGTAGGTTCTGGATCGGTTTACCTTTAACATTTTTTATTCCTTGTAAAATAAGTTGGGAAGTAATTTCAGTTAAAGGAGCTTTGTAGAGTATTACTTACCCGGACCAAACTCCGTACCCCCATCTCACCAGTTCTGGCCAGGCTCCACTGGCTCCCCAACATCAAACAGATCAATGTCAAGATCCTCACATTCATGTTCAAATTCATTCACTTCCTGCCACCTCTCTACCTCTCCAACCTCCTCATTCCCCAATCCACTGCCCGTCGTCTCAACTGCCTCTGGCCTCCTGCTTGTCCCTCACACCCTCCACTCCACTATTGGAGGTCGTGTTTTCAGCCACTATGTCCCAAAACTGGAACACTCCCTCAATCCCTCCGCCTTGCCCCCTCTCTCCCCTTTTTCAAGTCCTGCCTGAAAACCTTCCCTTTCGACCGTGCTTACGGTCACCCCCCACCGCCCCCCCCAACCACTGTTAAGCGCTCTAAGACGGTACCCTGCATGGAGGGCATTATATAAGTTCAAGTTGTTGTTGTAGTAACAAGTATATTGCAAAAAAAAACTTTTTTAAAAAAAGAATGTTGCCACTATACTCTGTCTAGGCCACTGAGAATGAACAGCAGAAATGTAGTTAAAACTTGAATCTGCAATGGTCTGAACATTAGTGCCAGTAGCAAAACACAAATTTGATCTTATACCAGTATACATTCTGTGCCACTCTGTAGAGTATTAACAAGACACGGGTACAGACTGAATCAATTAACTGAATTCTTTGCTTACTTACCTAGCGCTCTTATTTCAGAAGCAATATCCATACTGCAAAATAACTTTCTGGATGCTTTTAATGAAAGATTAAGTTGTACTAACTTCAGCTTTTGTCATAGGATGCATTAACTCTGTGAGGGTATTTACAGTACCATGCATTATTTAACTGGATAGCTAAAAGCTTCCTGTCTTTAGGAAATTTACTTTGACATGTTTGAGTACATTGTCCTGTATTGCTCCTTTCAATCTCTGGATACCTTTGAGATCTCTTCCTTTCATGTTATCACTAGTTTTTGATTAGCTTCCAGATGTTTTAACTTTGCATACTTTTCAAGGCCTTTTTTTTCAGCTTTTGCTACAAACTGCCATTATTCATTTCTTTATTCGGAGACTTTTAATCCTTGTGTTTAATAGAGAAGGTTACCAAGGTTGCTAGAAACTGTAATTGGTCTCCATATTGTTCTTCTCTTTGAAAGTTTTGGGAAGTGTTTACCCAAATCAAGCTACAGTATTTAGTAAAAAGATCAGGAGAAGATTATTCAATTCATTGAGCCTGGTACTGTGAAGCACAGTTGCTAATTATGCTTACTTATTTTAAATTATCCTTTTCCGCTAACCTGCCATTCGACCAAATTTAGCCCTTTTCATATTGATTGATGTACTACTATTATATTCTGCAAGGATGTGATCAAATTAGGCTACAGGGTTTCTTATTAAGATCTCTTGTAATTTCACTGAAAATAAAACTAGCACCAGTTTTATTATGTTTTATGGAGTTGCCAGCTCCAAAATAGTGGACATTTTTTGTTTAGGACAGTGGTGTGTTTGACGAATCTTTGTGGATTTAGGTACTTAGAATATCAAAAATATTTTGAGAATTTAATAAATGGACTTCTTTGTACAGATACATTTCTGCAGAGATTTACCAATCTTATTTTCAAAATACTATTTTCAAAAATACTTCAAAACAAATAAAGTTAACAAAATATTCATAGGTGAATTGGGACTCAACTTAGGAATTGTGTCTCAATTAATAATGGGTTGTTTTTATTCAATGTACCATGCTGTTTTAAAACTAACTTTTGCCAATACTAATTTGAAGAATATGATTATTTTCTTGGTCATAAACCATAAATAGTCATGTTTGAGTAGTTTTATGTGTGCAACATTTGTATATGAAGAAAACAGAATTTAAGTTGTTTTGTTTAACTTTTGCAAATATCCCATAAATATATAATATTTATACACACATATACATATATTAAAAATAACTATAGAAGATTAGGTAGCAGAAGAGCAAAATGACATTCCAACAACAGAAAACATTGAAGCAGGAACCAAAGTCGGATGTAGCACACATTTTGTGGTTAAAATGTTTTTGATTTTTATTTGTATTTATTGCAATTTTTCAGTTATAATTGCCACAGTTGCTACAGTGAAAAATAATATAAAATATTTTCTTTTGCAACTTGCTGGATGCATTCAGACAGAAGAGGAAGAAGTGCAACAGCAAAAGGTTGATGTAATTTCAAACATTTGGATTCTTTCACTCCTTTTCCCATTTCAACTAGTGTGCTTTGTGTGTTTTAGAATGCTGTAGAGGGTGTGCTCGTGGTTTGTATTTATTTTATTTTTTTATTCTTGGAAGTTTTTCTTGTTTGGGGCTCGATCTGTTTGCTGCATGTTCCATATTATTGTTTTATTTTTTACATTGGAATTTTCTTTCTTTCAATTTCACAGAATAAGTCATTGGGCATAGACGGGGGAAATATTTATATCAGGCATAGCAATTTAATGTTGGAGGTTTGTATAAAATCTAAGTTTATTCTCAGATAGGCTGATGGTCTGCACTAATTGACCTTTCATAGCAGGCTGTTGCCATGGATTCTGCATGCATTGCATGGGAATGGAAACACTTGAACGCATGCAATATATACTGCAGTTTATTCCCAACTGTTGTACTGTCTGTGATGGGATTAGTTTGGGATATCAATATAGGGTTATGACTGCCTACCAAAAGAGAACAAGGTAGAGATAAAATCATTTTATGAATTGATAAAATCATTTTATTGCATTAATGTTGAGATGAATGGGCATGTTTACTAACAAGATTTCTGCAGACTTCAGTAACAAGATTAATTGGCTATTGTTGAATAAACGTATAGTATTACCAGCTAATGACAAATTAAACCCAGCACCTCATCTTTACAGAATGTGTATCCTTATCTCATTGATTGTCTCAATTTCAGATCTTAAATGCAAATTTGGTACCTACAATTGATTATTATTGATTCTTAATTCAGTATTTCTACTCTTGTAATAACGTCTAAATCTATATTAAGTGCAAGCAGTCTCTTAAGAATTGACTGGCTGCCCTGTAAATTGCCCTCAGTTTACTTGGCATTTCCTTTGAGCTCCAAAACAAATTGGCAAATCAATACTAAAATAACATTGAATCTTCCAAGATATTAAAGTGTAATTTTGGTTCTGGCTAAATCATGCGACAGCCAGAGAGCCATCAATGTGGTGTGAAAAAAGATTAATATGTCTAATTTTAAAACCATTATAATGAGGCTCACAAAGGAATAAACATTTTCTTCTGATTATGCCAATGAAGAATTGACTTTCACTGAGATCAAGTTTCCTGTGTGTTACTTATTTGTTGACTAATTTAGTTCTGACTGTCATTCTCATTATGTACGTGTGTAAATTAGGATCTTGATAAGACCCAGGAGGATGTATTGAAACATCAAGCTAGCATTAGCGAACTAAAACGCAGTTTCATGGAATCCACACCTGAACCACGTCCAAATGAATGGGAAAAGCGATTCAACTCACCCTTATTGCTGCAAACAGAAGGGGTATGTGTCAGAAGCAGAACTTCAGGACATATTTGAAGACGTGATCCAACTTCAAGAAGTGTTGTTTATGGCTTACAATATCTATATGTAATACAATATATGGGTCAATAATTATTTTTTACTACTAATTTGTAAATCAGCTGCATCTTTATATTCAGAGCACATTAACAAAGAAAGATACTGACAATTTACCAATCATTTCTAATTCATCATATCTAATTATTTGCTAAACCGAATGATTAGAGATTAATGCTTTGTCCAGTAACTACAATATTAGTGTTAGTGCACACACCAGAGGAATGCTTCATTTTGTAATTAGGTAGCTTTACTTTTGAATTAGGAGGGAATCAGTCAGGTCTCAAAACTGTTTCAGAGGACTTAACATTATTGATTCAGCACTTCCATTCCCTATGGCAAATTCCAAATTAAAACCACAGCAGATTCTAGATCTGTTGAAGATGTTCAACCTATAGATGAAATCTGGAAAACTTTGTATACTACATTAATTGGACATCTTGCATTAAGTCCACCAGGAAATATTTACTTTATGTAATCTTTTTCAGGGTGTAGATCTTCTGAATTCTTATTTATTGATGTCTTCTAATGTTTATCACATAAACTTTTTCATTTTTAGTATCTACAGCAACGATTGTGATCTTATGTCTTTGTTTCATGTTCTATGTGTTGTTGCTTGTTACTGTGTTTTCCAATGTTGTTGGTCTGATGTCTGTTCACTTTCTTCTTTTGCTTTGAAGAGGGTGGGGGAACTCTATATTTCTAAAAGATCCAAGAAGTGAAAGGCCACAGGAGTGCTGTCTGTCTGATCTTTGCAATCCTGTCTCATTTATGTGCCTTAGTTTCAGCTGCAGAAGAGCACCCCAGCTCTAGTACTTTGCTGTTTCTATTTTCCACACCAACAATTTCCCGAGCTTCCCTGAGCCAGAACGTGAGGTTAGAGGGTGTGTTGTGCTACATTCATACCCACTAGAAACTGGATTGAGAATCTCCAAAGCCTTTACCTAAAATCTTTATAGCTAACAGTGAAAACTTTTATTCCAATATCTTGGCTGGTTTCTAACTTGGGTCAAATCATCTATTACTCCTCAAAGCAAATCTTAAATCTTAGACAGCTACATCTGTCTTGTCCTTTCAAAATCTTTCTGTGATTTGTGTTCAGCCCAGTTTCATCTTTTTGTTACCTGCTGATCCACCCTTTTTTGTTGCTTCTGTGGTAGTTCCCCCTTCCTTCACTAACTCTTGTCTCCTGGAGAATTCTGAATCTTTTTTTCTGCTCGGGTACAGTTCACAGATGGAGGGTACAGTTCACCATGCGGTACTTTGCTCAGGTGACCATTATTCACGTTTGTATAATATGTGCTGAGGTCAATTAATTGCTCCCCTTACTACCAGTAATTACTCAGCACAGCCAGGGTTCAACCTGTAACTTAGTATGTGTGGTTTTGTGCTGCTTACTTTTACCCACGATGGAAGCCCACTGTTATACTTTAACTATTTGGCAGCAGCAATAATTTGTAATAGAATAACATCTAGGAGTGCTTTACAGTGGCAGGGATGGACCCTGAACAGTAGAGCAGGGGGAGCTGACCATAGCCAAGGTCAAAGAGGTTAAGCGACAAAGTTTTTAAGGCAGGACGTAGGTGAATAGAGAGGGGAGTAAGATGAAGGGGCCGAGAGTAGGACAAGTGACGCCCGAGTTAGATGATAAGAGGAGTGGGGCAAGAAAATAATGCAAAATAGGGTGTAAGGATCTATAGTTGAGAGTGAGGATCTTGAAATCTATCTGCTGAGGGAAGTGTAGTCTGGCAAGGACTGGGATGATGGACATGCAGAGTTTTGTGGGAGTGAATATGTGATTGGTGGAATTTTGGATGAGTTGAAATTTATGGATGGTGAAGCTAGAGAGATGGTGTTGAATAAGGGTTTCAGAAGTATTGAGAGTAAGTTGGGGGTGGAGGTTGGTAGTGTGGTAGTGGTGAATCTTGGTCAGAGAACAGATATGAGTGAGAAAGGAGAGCTGAAGATCTGTCTTGTCTGTTTAGCTGCAGGAAATGTTGGCTTATCAAGGCTTTGTCTGACAGACAAGCAGATGGAACATCAGAGAACCTGAAATTGAGAGTGGAGATGGAAACCTTGATTTGGTTGTCACCTGCATACATGTGGAAGTTAACCCAATGTCTGCAGATGATCAACATTTTGATCTCCAGTTATTTTATTCTAAAATGTTCAGTATCAACCATGCTTGATAAAATATGTTAATGTAATTATATTGATTCTCTTGTATGCAAAAAAGGTATCACAAGGCTTCTCCTTTTTTGTCAGTTTTTTTAAGCTTTTTTTTAATGTAGATTGTGTATGCCTTCTCAAAGTAACTGCAGACCAGAAGAGGAAAAAAAACATTTGTTCTCATGAGGTGTTGTTTAATTGTATATGTTAATCTCAGAGTGGCATTAAAATAACAATCTTAACTGGGCAGAGTTCATTACTTTTATCTATTAAAATAAAGTCTGACTGGACATATCTGCACTCTGAGCAATGACTGCACTAACATAAGTTATTTATGTGATTAGTGCTGGTGCGTACATATTAAATACAGTTGTATGATGAGGAATGATTAATAATAATCCTACCATTTGATATAGCGCTTTCACATTGGGAGGATGTCTCAAAGTGCTTCACAGAATATACTGATTGTGACTGCATTTTGTAGTCAAATGTTTTGTAGGTAGTTCCCAAGTTCTGAAGGCTTCATCCAGGAGTGATCTACGATAGAGGAGGCTACTTGAACCATTGTATTAGTGCTTCTTCAATGATGCCATCTATCCTAATTTCAATTTTGTGCCTTTTCTCTATACCTTCTAATAACCGTCCAGCGTGTGCTTCCTTAATTCCCTTTGAAATACCCCATTCATTTTGTTCCAACAGTCACCCCTGGCAAACTGTTCCATATTTTAATAATCCTTTTAGGAGAAAAAAAATCTTCCTAACTTCTCCTTTCATTCTTCATTTCTAATCTTAAATTAATGCCCCTTTTTCCTTGAATCACCTACTAGCTGAAACAGTTCCTTATCCATTTAAACCTTTTATTTTAGATATTTGATCATATCAGCACACAACCTTCTGTGATCCAATGGAAAACATCTTCTTCCCAGGTTCTCTTCACAGCTATATCTTCTTACTTCCATCGTCCTTGTGAACTTGCTCCTCACCTTCTCCACTCATTGAGAATGTTGTTACTTAGGTTATATTTCCATTCGCTAGAATAGAGATAGAAAATATATCCATTGTGTTTGGATGTATTAAGACATTTATTTTCTCCATTTCCAAAATGTATTACATTCCATTTTTCTGTATTGAATATCATTCTGTATAAATCAGTGCATTTCACTAACCTGCCTATCTGCCTGGAGTCTCATAAATGATTTGCCACTTTTAACTCCTCAGATATTATTCAAATCTCTGTAGGTGCTATTGTGTTTGGAATAATGTATTGCTGCATTATTCCAAACATTAAAAGCAACAAAATTCCGAAAAGTCCATTGAAAGGAGTCTGTAAAGCTCTCAAAGAAATTATCACATCAAAGCAAATACTGTACTTTGATTTTAAATTAAGTTGTCTTAATTTAGTTTTGTGATCATGAAGGCCTGGAGCATCATTATAAACTGCTACAAAATTTAATGTGAGTTTAAATGATTGCAGATTTCAACTTGAGTGGTATGCTTCAGATCAGGTTCATTCTCATGGGGAGGAGAGAAAACGAGTCAGCTGATTGTTGAATCTTGTACAACCTTATTCATGCAAAATGAGTCAATACTCACCAACTTTATATTCAGAAAATACGATTGTCTGAAAAATCAAGCAAAAATTTACAAAATGAGTTTATATAAACCATTGGTAGTGGAAGCTTTTTATGATTGTCAGGATGACTCTGAGATGTGACAGTCTTGACCCTGAACCAAGCTCACCAATGACAGAAGCTTTTTACTTTTGGGGTGGGGGGATACTATTATTCGGTATGTAATTGGATATATTGCACTAAAACTAAAAGTATGCTCTTTGTGTTTCACTTGCTGATCTTATGGTCTTAAAACATGTTTGTATTTTCAAAATATTGTTATGCTTTGGTGTTTGTTTAAGTCATGTCTGTGTTGCTTGTAAGTGTATATGATGTGTAATTTGGTATAACTTCTATCTTTCTTTTTCCTCTGTTAGACTGTGCTGTACATGTTGTCTTCTTCGTTAATCTTCTCAATTTTCTAACTGCGTAGAGCTTAGAAGAGGAGATAACATCGCTTTTGTTTAGTAAAGATTGCTTCTCAACGGGCTTGGTGGCCTCCTTCCCATCAGCTATTTCTCCGGCATCAGAGGGTGCTGTATTGAAAGAAAAAACTGCTGCTGAATCTATTACTCTCTCACACTCCAAGCAGTTGTCTGAGGTGCTTTTAGAATGAAATTTGTGATTGGTTGTTATAAAAGTAATTCTGTGCCTCACATTCTGCTATGATTTCCCCCCACGTTTTGTCTTTAGTCATTATGTGTTTGTCCTTTTCTATGTTTTAAGTATTTTTTAATTTTTGATTTCATTGTATTTTCACTATGTAAAATGTTATGTAAAATGTTGTCACAATTTTGTATAGTGTATGTGAATTTTTTTTGTGAGATTTTAAAATATATCATAGTTGATAACTTCTCCCTTCTTGCCTCAGTAGGGAGGAATATTCATTACATGTTATGACTGCCTTTTGTTCTGCAGGATCTCACTTCAAGAGCACAAGGGCTTCCAGCTGGACCTAGAGATGTTGCTGAGGTGGTTAATTAATATAATACTTCCACCAAAGCATAGCCAGTGTAGCATCATTCACCAGTCGTTATGTTGTTTTCAGCGACCATCATCTTTTTATGTTTGCATGGTTGTAGTTCATGTTGCTTGCAAACATTTGTCTCATCCATTTTTATTATTTTTTTCATTCATTTCCTTGTGTAGAGCTCAGATGAGAAACAGAAACCCGAGATGAAGGAGCAGGCAGAGGTTGTAGTAGAAGAAACAATAGTGATTGAAGAGAGAAAGAGAACATCCAATCGTTCAAAAGTAAAAAAGGAAACAACTGTTGAAAGCAATACAGTTATGCCCCCCTCTAAAGTTACAGCAAAAGAGGGTTCAGTTTCATCATCTGATAGCAATAGTGAGAGTGAGGACGAGGCTGAGTATAACCCACAGACCAAGGAAGGAGAAAATGAAAACCAAGAAGAACAGAATAAATTTGAGATGCTGAACAGAGTGGCAGTGGAGTTCAAGATGGTAATGAAAGCAACAAAAGAACCTCGAGTTGATGAAATTAGTGACCAACTGGAAAATGTACAAGAGGAGATGCAGAAGGGAGAAATCCAGGAAGAAATCCAGACAGAAGAGCAAGAGGATACAAAGCCTAAAATAAATGGAGATGTTTCACATGTTGATAGTGATTCTGATCCACAAGTTGTATGTTACTCAGAGGTAAATGTTAGATCAAGTGGATCCTGTCCAGTATCTCCTGCATCTTTCCCCGGTCTGTCAAGGGATTTTCTGGAGTATCTACAATTCACTTAGAATAAACATTGATTTTATTTCCCCCAATAAAGGAATGCAAATGTTTATCCGCCACCTCTCTGCCTGCTTCAGTCTTGGTTTCTGGCTGCCTTGCTTGCATTGGAGGCCTAGGCATCACTGAATCTTTCAATCTTGATAGTCACTGTATTTCTCATTTTATTGAAACGTAAAGTTATCATTCATTTTATGTTTTGTCTTTTTGTTGTTGTCATGCCATCGGTTTTTATTGTAATCATCTTTGTATTTGTGATATTATTCCTCTTATGTGACCAGCAAAGAATATTTTTCTTTAAAATTTGTTTTTTTTCTATCTTTTGGTTTTAGCTGTTTCCTTGGTAGTTATAACTATTATGAACGATGTTTGTTCATTCTGTGAACTATCTTGTTTTATTTTACTTACTTGGGCTTCTTTTTATTAGCCACCTGTAGTAAAGACTGAAATGGTGACGATTTCTGATACAGTGAGTTCTGACAAGATGGAAATTGCAACTAAAGAAGTTCCAATTGTTCAAACTGAGACGAAGACCATTACCTATGAGGCTGCTCAGGTAGACTTAAAAAGATTTACAAATAATGTATAGTACAAAGACATATTATGATCTCTCAAACGTGTGTGAGCCTAAATGTTGAGTGACCAGAGATTAATTCACGAAAATGTGGGAGCAGCATAGCTGACTCTGATCGTGTACTTGCGGGATGTAATATTTAAATTGCCTTCCCTCTTACCTCCCTTCTCTTCCCCCATAACAAATATTCATAATTATTTTACTCTTCTGTTTTAAAGGGTGATGGAAGTGGAGACAATGATCCTGGTGTTCTGATGAGTGCTCAGACCATAACTTCTGAATCCGTCTGTACTACAATGACAACTCATATTACCAAGGTTCGTAACATGAAATTTAGGCTTGCTGAGCATTTACTGCCCTCTTCACACTGCCACTGGGGGTCAACCCTTCAGATTCTTCTCCCTAGCCTTTCTTTTGGTCAGCCGGGTATCTGACAGATGCTTGACAACCAGATGTCTGACCATCACGCTTATGAATATCTAAATCAGACTGAGAGTTCCGTGCATACCCCCTATATTTAGAAATTCCTGTGTTTGGAAAGAAATATGCAATCTCCCTAAAGGGTTGCATCCTGCTCACCAAATTCTGGAGACTCTTCGCGCAGATTGGCAAGAGCCAAGGTTTTGCTATCCTAGATGTATTTGAGTACTCTTGGAGTTTAACCAGCTAAATCCATATAATTTACTATGAAAGCACTATCTGACAAGCTTCCCGCTGTTTGTCCAGGTAAGATCACCCCACCCATTAGGGCTTTGGTTTGCAGGATTAACGGGATCTGAATTGGAAGAAGCCATACCCCAAGTCCTACCGATGAGCTCGACCAGCTGGTCTGTCATAGCAACCCTGGAGTACTGAGGGACCTCCTTGGCTCAGGCACAAAGGATGGACAATTCTGACAATTCATTGCCAAACATTTCACCTTGGAATCAGTTCAGACCCCCCACTCCCTGAAGCAGGATAATTTGGTGTCTATGATAACTTTCCCCATTACAAGTGCTAGTTATTAATTATCAGTCTTTATCCTCCAACTGTCCTTTCTCCCCCACGTCTGTGCCATGATCCACTCTGCCTTCCCCTGCCTTCGCAATATTGCCCGACTCCACCACTGTCTCCGCCACTGCCTCATAGGCCGTTGAAACCCTCATACATGCCTTCATTATATCTAGGCTTGGCCCAACTCTTCTCTCCACAAGCTGCAGATCATCCAGAACTCTGCAGCTCGTGTCCTCTCCTGCATCAGGCTCCGTGACCCTGTCACACCCACCCTCCCCTGGCTTCACTGGGTCCCTGTCCCTCAGTAGATCGAGTTCAAAGTCCTCATCCTCATCTTCAAGGCCTTCCACAGCCTTGCCCTCTCCAACCTGCTAACCCCTTGTCAACATGTCCTCTCACTCCGCTCAGCAGGCTCTAGCCTGCTCCATGTGCCCGCCTGGCCCACTCTACCATCAACAGTCGGGCCTTTAGCCTCTCTGCCCCCACCCTATGGAACTCCATCCCACATTCCTGTCACTTCGCTTCCTCGCCTCCTTCAAGGCACGCCTCAAGACCCTCCTCTTTGACCGTGCCTTCAGCCACCCTCTCTGCCCTCCAACCTCCCTGATCCCAACCCCCCACTCGGGTCCTAATGACCCTGGCTATTCAGCGCCTTGAGACGTCCTCCAGACTTGAAAGGCACTTTACAAATGTAATTTTGTACAACCCATTTTTTTGTTCATATGTCTTTTCGAAAATATATTATTCATTAATTCTCTTTTCTCTATTGTTTTAGAACTTAAAGAACAAAATGCATATCCCTCTATTTAACTTTTTAATGATTTAATTAGCATTTTTATTCTCTTACAACATATCACTTTACTGTAAATCCTATGAAGAGCTTGAGACATCCTCCCAACATGAAAGGTGCTATATTAAATATAAAGATAATTATTATTTCTAGTTTGTCTATTTTTCTTCCTGACTGAAAGGCCAGAGCAACCAGAGGTTCCTCACTACAGACACCAACAGCTATATGGTACCTTCCTCAAGTGGGCATTATTCTCATGTAAATGTATCACAGCCACAACAACCCAGTGCTTTTCTCACCACTTTCCAGCAGGGGTCACAGGATAGTTAGCTTCTTTTCTAACTTTGAAACCTATAACATGTCTGATTCTTTCTTCTGGCTTTTTTTNAAAAAAGGTGAAAGCCATAGAAATCTGCGATAAAATAGTTTGCTATTTAACCCACTGTATTAATAATGGTGTTTGCTCCCTCACTGAAGTCACTGTCCTAATCCCAATGCATTCTAAGCCATCTAACACCCTTCCTCACTTGTTAATTCCTTTTTAAATGATCCCAGGTTGACTTGCTCCAACACTCATCCTGAGTCCTTCATTCCGTGAATGTCATTCACACTGTCTTTAATTTTATTTTCGTAACTTTTCTATTCACACTCTTAATTAACTTAAATTCTGAGAGTTGCCCTCTTGTCTTTGAATTTTGTTCTAGTAGAAACAGTTCCTCACCCTTTATCTTCTCAAACCCTATTATTATCTTAAATACCTCTAGAATATGTGTTCCCTGTACAAACCAATTCTAGCCTCTCACAGTTATAATCTCACAGTTATAATGCCTTCATCTCCTGAATCATCTTCATGAATCTACACTGTACACTCTCTGTAGCTGAATATCCTTTCTATAGTGTCACACCTATTTCTGTGCATGGTATTCCAGCTTCATCCCCCCACCCCCAAGATCTCCACCCTACCATTGGGAGGTGAGCTTTTAACACTTTGCCCTTGCTCTGAAATCCCTTTCATCTTTCAAAATTCATCTCAAGATTTATCTCATTGATTGCACCCTTGGACACCTTCCCCCTAACCCAACAACAACAACAACTTGGATTTAAAACCCCTCCCCCATCCTCCTCATAGGTAGGGCTGCCATTCATTCCATCTTGGTAAGATGCTTTGAGATGTCCTTCAGCACTTTGCCCTTGCTCTGGAATCCGTCCAGTTTGCTCCCTCTCAACTTTCAAAAGTAGAGCCCTACTATAACAAGAAACTTTGGGTCCATAAAATCGCAACCAGTCTGACAACTGAATATCTTTTCTGTAGTACCGCACTTATATCTGCGCACAGTATTCCAGTTTTATTCTTAACTGCACTAGAGCCAATCCATCGCATCTCAGTGCATCATGTTTTTGTGTCACATGACCAATAGCAACACACAATGCATGCAGAAAGCTGTCCAGCTTCCAGTGCTAAAAAGGCCTACTTTTGGGTCGTTGGATCACTGCCAATATTACTAGTGTGCTGCATGTGTGATAAATTATTGAAGACTTTACCCGTTGTTGCTGCATGGGGGGTTGAGACTACAGGAAACAAAACAACTGATTGAAACAGAATGAGTAGTATATTAAGAATTAATCAAATAATTTCATATTACGTTATCCTTTGTGCAGACAGTGAAAGGTGGAGTGTCTGAAACAAGGATTGAAAAACGAATTGTTATCACAGGCGATACAGACATTGACCATGACCAGGTCAGTTTTCGTTTTTTATCATTTTGTGTCTTGATTAATATTTTAAAATAATATGTTTAAATCAAAAATAACTCACCAGTAACTCTTGAGTAGACTGACTATTTGTGAATATTTCACACAATACATGGAAGTTCAGCCACATATGATGGGATTTAATGTAGAACTTGAACTGCTCCCAACTGACATATTTTTGAAGCAAACTGACATCTTTAAAGCATTGTATGCGATATTAAGTTGTTATTTTGATGAATGTGCTTCAAAGAGCTCATTTAGTGTTGCCAGCATTCATATTTACACTGCTTGCAGTTTTTTTATGACTTCCATAGTCCACCTGTCCTGAAATACCTTGCACTGCCTTGGGCTGCGCAGGCTTCTGTTTACCTGCCATGCTGTTTATCCATGCTATCTTCCATTCTCGGTCTTTGCCATTGGACTGCTGCCACCCCAGTGTGTCTCCTGGCTCCGCTTCCCCGCTGAAATTATTTTGGGTCTCCCCACGGGTCCATGCTCCAGCTTGGGAACCAATGCCTCTGTGTATTCTGCATCAACATTAACCTTCAGATTGCTGGAAAGGTTAAGGTGTCTGGGCAGACCAGTTCTGAACGTTTTCATACTATATGCAGTTGTGCAGAAAGTACTAATGTTGCAGTAATGAGCTATGAAAACAGCTTTGTTACTGTTCAAGTATTATCACTAATCCATGTCTGCATGGTTCAGTTAGTAGCACTCTTGCTCTGAGACAGAAGCTTACGGGTTCAAGTCCTATGTCGGGACTTGAAGCTCATATAGTCTATGCTCCAGTGCAGTCCTGTGGGTATGCTGCATTTTCAGTGCCGTCCTTCAGATGAGATGTTAAACTGAGATCCCGTCTAAGATACCAGGTAAAAGGTACCATTCCATTACTCAAAAAGGAAGGTGTCATTGGACAACATTCCCCAAATAAAGTTGGTCATTCATTCCTTGGTTGTTTGTGGGACATCACTGCGCAAGTTGGCTGCGCTTGGAAAGGATTGCATGCTATCTCCCTGAAGGGACTTGTCCTACTTACCTAATTACAGAAAGTAGTAGGCAAACGTTGGTAACGCCAATGCTTGGGGACCCCAGAGTGTGCATTAGGTTCTGCTGGAGTTTAACCAGCCAAATTCTAATGGTTTGCCATTGTGAGCACTGTGACACTGCTTCTCACTGATTGTCCAGATAGAATCAACATACCCATTAGGGATTTTGCCTGTAAGGTAAAACATTTCCAAGGGGATAGAATCCCTGCCCCCAATTACTGGTCTACTCTTCCCCAACCTACAGACAAACCATGATGCTGATCAGTCATCAGCAGTGTCTTAGGTTACTGCAGACCCATTTGGTTCAAAATACAGACTACCAAGGCTATCAGAAAGGGTCGACTCAATTCTGATCTATCGTTGCTAAGCACGTGATCTTGGAGTCAGTTCATCCCAAGGAATCCCTGTTTACCTTAAGCAGAGTCTCTTTCAGACTCAAGTGGCTTTATCCCTGGAGGATAGATGCTAGTTAGTCATTTGACATCCGACAAGCACAAATTTGAGTGTTTACTCGGTGGATACCAGGTACCAGGAACTTGGTGATGATAATCAGTACAACAACAACAACAACGAGATTACATTTGTATAGCGCTTTTCACGTCGGGAAGACGTCCCAAGGAACTGGAATGAATACATTGCTAAAATGATTTTTGAACTGGGCATTTGCATAGCTTTTTTTATAAGAAGTGCAGAAGTTGGCAAAACCATAATTTCTGAAAGAAACCTTCATTACGAGTATAGGATTAGTTCACTTGAGGTTACTAAACTATTTGCGTCAGATTTTAAAGATTAGTGCTTTTCGTAATGCCTCATTTGTTATTTACTGTACCCATGTAAATAAACTTAACTTATTGTACTCATGCCAATATTTTTCATGTATTTTGATTTGTGAAATGTGTGGTTTGTTTCAATCCCATCATTATTGTTTGTAATTCTGGGTAGGCATTGGCCCAGGCGATAAAAGAAGCCAAAGAGCAGCACCCAGACATGTCAGTCACCAGGGTAGTGGTACATAAAGAGACAGAGCTCACTGAGGACGGGGAGGAATAAGTTAAGGTAAGGGACCACAGCATCCACCTAAGCACCCAAATGTAGTGCCTGCTGAGGGGCAGATGTTCCTCAGATTATCACTACTCTTTTGGCATGCTTCCATTGTTTTAGTGCAGGTTATCCTAAGTAAATTAGAGGAGAAATGCATTTAACATGAATTGTTCAGAGGTTGGCCATGGGCCAGCATTACCTGCATTTAATTTTATATTTATCTTTCTGTTTGCAATTTGTTTTAAATCATGTGCTTGTACTGCAGTTGATCTCCTTTAGCTGGTTTATGGACTTATTACCTCCAATGTTATTTATTTGACAAAGTGTCTATTATATTATACAGTTATCTGACTCGCAATATCTATTTAATGAGATGAAACCAAGGCGTTTTCCACAAATGTTTTGGAACTTCAATGACCAATGATTTTTAATTGACTATAGTACAGATCAGTATAGATTTTTTTAAAATTGCAATAGGAAACCAAAAAGCCAAAAAGAATTTCCAATCTGGCTTCAATAAAAATCATTGCCTCACCATTAGACTGCTCAAAATATTTAAAAGCTACTGTAGGATAACAAGCCAAGTGATTCAATCCTCGATTATGTTTGCCTTAGTTACTCAAATTCTGAGCGGTCATTTTATTAATATGATCCATAATTATTTATTTTAGAGAATCACAAAGTTGGAAGCTTCCAGTTAAAAAAGAGATACTGCAGTAAACCTTTCTTAAAAATCATATTTAAGTTCTACTATTTCTTATGCTTTCACCATGCATGTTTATGATTTATTTTCCTGTGAATATTATGTTGATTTTGTTTGTTTTGTTTGAACAACAATAAGATTACATTTGTATAGCGTCTTTCACGTCGGGAGGACGTCCCAAGGCGCTGGACAGTGTACAGCATTTCAGACCCAAGCTGGGGTCAGGGGAGAGAAGGGAGGGGAGGGGAAGGCGGGTAACCAATGGCATGGTCGAAGAGGGGGGTTTTGAGGCGGGACTTGAAGGAGGCTAAGGAGGGGGCGAGGCGGAGTGATTGGGAGATGGAGTTCCAGAGGTTGGGGGCAGAGTGGCTGAAGGGTCTCCTGCCAATGGTGGGGCGGGTGGGTCGGGGAACGTGGAGTAGGTGAGCGGAGAGAGCGGGCGGGTTGGTAGGGGGTTAGGAGGTTGCAGAGGTAGGGTGGGGTGAGGCCATGGAGGGCTTTGTAGGTGAGGACCAGTATCTTGAAATAGATCCTCTGAAGGATAGGGAGCCAGTGGAGTCGGGCGAGAGTGGGGGAGATGGGGTCACAGCATTCTACCAGTACATTCTAGTGGCTGCAACTAATAAGTTAATGTTGTGTTCCAAATCTAAAGGTGCTGTGTCCCACAATTCAGATATATTTTCATTTGAGCAGCACTTACAACTGCAAATCAGGCTTAAAGATTTTTTTTTGCAATTTGAGCTTTCTCCTATTTGCTTATATAATCGTTCGGGACTGGTTAGACTACACAAGTATCATGTTTCTATTATTGATTATTAGGTTTCAAGTTTCTCACTTTCAAATTATCTTCACGAACTAGGATATACAACGACTTTGGCAGAAAAATTGCATTTTCAAAAGTTTTTGTTGAGTATTTTTTCAAAAAAAAGTTGAATCATTGCATTAAATGAAAGGCACAGATAAACACATGGAGATGAGTTGTATTGCTGATGAAAAGAAGCCACATTTATCGAATTCCAGCTGTAATTGAATTTAAATGTTCCTTTCACTTTTTTTGGAAAATGTTCCTTTCTGTTAAATTAGAGTGGAGATGCCCAAGGCACTTCATCATCTGAACTGAACTCGACCAGGAAAGATAAAAACAGGCATATAATTGTTACTTTAACTTGAATATTTGTTACTTAAAAGAGGTCATCTTGGAAACCCTCTTTCTTAACTATTAACCTAGTTTTAGTACTCAATATAATGTTCCATATCTTGTCCACTTCGATACACATCTATCATGTATAAGGAAGGACGTTCCATTGTAAGATGTATATTTTCTTAGGGTAGTGTCATCATAAGTGTTCCTTTCCTCCCCTCCTTTCTTTACATCACTTCCTTTTTATATGTAATTTTTTTTGTGAAGAATGAGAACCATAAGGTTAGTTTGCCATGACTTGACTTAAGATACAATGAGGACCACCCTGAAGAACCCTTCACAATTAAATCTTGAAATGGAAAGTAACAATTGAAAATGAAAAATTGCAAATGTGGAAATAAAATCAGAAATTGAGGAAATCATTATCTGAAAGAGGTGGTTTATTATTTTTGCTGGGGGAATTTAATCTAATTTCCTGAACAATGTTTTGCTGCATTTTCCCCTTGCTCTCAAAGATTCCCAAAATGCCACAATAATCAGTGGAACTGATCATTAGAAGCAAACTGTATCAGTGCAAAAATAACCAAAAATAAAACAGCTAACATGCTTTAGAAGGAGATCTCACAAATTGACATTGGAAATTCATATGATTTGATGTACCAAGTATCCAAAACATCTTTGATGTACCAAATGAGAAACTCCCGGAGACTTGTTTACAAAGTGGTCACTGGATATTGAAGGGAAGGAAGCAGAGGGTAGATTAGGGGAACTGAGTTTAAATGGGGGATAGTTTTGAGTGGAATGCCTCAGGGCGGCATGCTGGGATGCCTCCTGTTCCTATTGAATTTCCAGAATTAGTGTCAGGTGGTTACATTTGCAGATAATACCAAACAAGTCTTCTGCAAATGGAGGAGACAGACAGACTCTTACAAATAGACCTCAACAGGTATATGCACCTGATTGATCACTGGCAAATAAAGTTCATTGGAGATGAGTGCAAAGTAAATCATACAAGAAGCAAAAACATGCACATGTACAGTACTCATTAGGTGGGATAGAAGTTGCTTATGGGGAATTTAAATAGATGTAGGAGTGTTAGTTGATTTGACTCAACTTACAATATGCCCAAACAATAGGAGGCACCAATAAAGGAAGCACATGGGATATTTGGTTACATTGGCTATTTAAAATCTGTTAAATTCAGGTTTTCAGGAGGCCTACTGAATAGTGTACAACAACAACAAAATTAAATTAGTATGCACTATTCAGGCTGCATAGGCTGGATGACTCTATAATTTTGATTTCCACAATGTAAGTGTCCTATCCAAGTTCTCGGTAATGGAGAGGAATGAGTTATGAGCAATGACCAAATAAATTGGACAATTCAGCCTTGAAAAGAGATGCCTCAAAGCAGATTCTTGATCAGTGCTCTCCCAGATCCTGAACGGGATAAAGCATGCTAATGCAGAATAATAGTTTTGGATAATCCCAGGTAGTAGGTTAAGACTGCACACTTTTAGGATTGTGAAGGATAATTTTAGTACATACCAGGATGTATTTATTGATACAAAGGACACTCAACAACAACAAGAAGTTACATTTGTATAGCGCCTTTCACATTGGGAGGACGACCCAAGGTGCTGGACAGTCAGGGATTTGGACCCGAGCAGCATCAGGAGGTCGGGAGGGTAGGAGGGTGACCGAAGGTGCAGTCAAAGAAGAGGATCTTGAGACGTGCCTTGATGGAGGCAAGGAAGGGAGCATGGCAAAGGGACTGTGGGATGGAGTTACAAAGGGTGGGGGAGGAGAGGCTGAAGGCCCAGCTGCTGATGGTGGGGTGGGGGATGTGGAGCAGGCTGTAGACTGCTAAGTGGAGGGAGCGTATAGGTTGATATGGCATTAGCAGGTCACAGAGGTAGGAGCAAGGCCATGGAGGCTTTGAAGGTAAGGACAAGAATTTTGAACTACCCTCTGGGGGATGTGGAGCTGGGCAAGGGTGAGGGTGATAGGGTCACGGAACCTGGTGCGCAAGAGGACATGAGCTACAGAGTTCTGGAGGAAAGCTGGAAACGCCAACAAACAGGGAGTTGGCGTAGTCGACCCTAGATTTAATGAATGGATGAGGATTACCAGGATGTTTGCAAGAGGTCAAATCTTAAAATTTATTTTAAAAATGGCTCATTGCTGCAATGGAAATACTGTATGATTTGTATTCTGTGAGGTTGAGATCAAATTGGCTGAAGATCTTTTACCCAAACATTTTGCTAAAATGTATTTAGCTTGTAGGCTGTTTAAAGACTTGCTTAAAGGCCTTCTTCTGCATTTAATTTTACAAACTTCAGATGCAATGAACCCTATTGCTTTAAGAAAGCTAATCAGATTTTAAAAATGTGAAATTGATCTTTCTTGATTGAAATTTGGAGGTGGAGGCTCAAAAATGTCAGCCTGGCTCAGTTGGTAGCATTCTTGCCTGAGTCAGAAGGCTGTGGGTTCAAGTCCCATTTGGGGCTTTGACATAATATTCCCTAGGGTGGCACTCGAGTACAGTGCTGTAGATGCACTCTATTGTCAGAGGTGCCATCCTTTGGATGAGATATTGAACTGCCCATTCAGGTGGCACAATTTGAATAGAGTAAGCAAGCACAATTTGAAAAGATTAAGTATTTTTTTCCCAGTGTCCTGGCCAGAAATCCTACAAATAAAATTGGTTACTCACTTCACAGCTGTTTGTGGAACATTGTTGTGTGCAAAATTGCTGCATGTTGACCTATAGATACAAAAGCACTACAATTTACAGTGAATTATGTGAAGTGCTTTCAAATATTTTAGATAGAAAACAGAAGTATATTATTTTGTGAATATTTTAGTTGAAAGGGTTTTGAGGAAGGGGATAGATGAACATTGGCTCATAACCAAATTTAGGAATTGTTCTGGTTCAAACTGGGAGGGAATTCACGATCATATTTTGCATAATAAAGATTGATTTGCATATTTGAAGTCAACAAACTGCCCTAAAACAATAATTACCAGTTCAAAATCAAACCGGAATGTCTGGTCAACTTTCAAAGGGCATTTTCTTGACCACAGGTGCTTTTCAATTTATTTGTGTCTTGAGTTTTCACTTCTACCTACAGTTATTTTTATTGTATTTCTATAACTGATATTGAAACTCTTTTAAAGACTTGCTTAAAACTGATGCTCATGTAGGAAAAAGTAAATGGTGGCTGACATTATATTGTTTTTCTGTTTTTGCTCAAAAGGGTTGCCTTGTTTGTAAAAGAACTGTACTGCCTCAGTCACTATCTAAAATAGTTAGCAAAGATTAATTGTTAAAGTGATGTGATTTTCTACCTCCTCTCCTTTAGGTTTGGACTTAGGCACACTGGGTCTCAAACAACTCCAGACTCTGTATAATATACCCAGACATCATCCAAATTAGAATGCAAAGTAAAATATTATAAATTTGAACATGTAACAATATAGGCTTGCAAATCCAAATTAATGCATCTTTGTACTATTTCAAAATGCTTACTAGAATCTAAAATACTGCATTTTGTTTTTTTAAATCTGGCATTAAAAGAGTTTCAGTATTTAGAAGTGAACAAATTGATTGTTTATAGTACATTATTTCTGGGGATGCAGTGAAGAAAATTGCGGCAATAAAAGTTTAATGGGAAAATGGGAAAGCAAAGAACTGAATGAATTTTCTTCAAACAAGTTGAGACCTTTGGAAATCATATTTAAGCTTCCTCTGATTTGGGCAATAGCTACCTGTAAAAAACAAAAGTTTAAATCTAACTGCATTTGATATTAAACTTTTGAATTTCAAAACTCACTCTCCACACAGGGAAGATCACAAGCATTTTACTGTTTTTGCTCTAGAATTAGTGCCGGGACATGATTTATAGCACTTCTTCTCCCACAACCTCCAGCATAATGCAAGTGCTGAAGATTTTTTTATTACCATCAGCACGTAATACTTTGATTGCAGAATTGGCAGATACTAGAATAATGCTTACAAGTATGTTTTCTGTGTCTGTTCCGAGGAGTTTTTTTTTTGCTTTTCATGTTTGTTATTTTAGCTGTTTTATTAACTTATTGTGCTCTTTACTTTCAGAAATGAACATTGCTCAAAACCTTAACTGAAGGAGTTTATTCCTTGCAGTGAACCGTCATTGGAGGAAAATCATCTTTCAGCATTGGCAACTATGACTCTCACCCCCCCATAGCAGTTTGCAAATAGCATGGATATCGAAGGGATTGGAGGTCAACGCAAACATTATCACAGTTAGATATTTTTATTATTGTTTTGAACGGTTAGCCTGTAATTAGACCATTCCTCCGCATCTAATGTTTCCTTGAGCATGTTTGCTGATTAACCTACCATATTTACACACTATTAAAATTAATTGATCATAAATAAATATTACAAAAAAATAAAAGCAGGATTCCTTGTATAAGAGAAACTATTATGTACAGAATGTTGTGACTAATTTAGATACAGTAAGTGGCTCACTTTTGAAAGCTGAATAAGGTGAATATGTTGAAACCTGAATTGAAGAAACTTCTAGGTTTTGAGCGTGATTAAGTAGTTATCAAGTACTGTGAACAAAGTAATCTGAAAAGACTTGGATCAGACTTTCTAGTGTTTTTTACACTCTTAACATGTCTGCTTAAAGGAATCAGGTTTGCTTATAAAGCATCTTTTGGCACATCTATTATGGCAGACATTTGAAGGGGACCTAATGCCAAGCAAACATTCCATTAAATACTTTGCACTAGAGTGCCATTTATCATTCTATTTTCTTAGTCATCAACAGAACTGGAAGATCCATATTGAAGAGGAGCACTTTTCTGTTTACTTACCAGTTCTACAAATATAACTTTCTAGGCAGCTTCAGATTTAATACCTTTAAATCATATTTCCTCAATTTAAAAACAAATCACTATATTGAATACATTTCTATAAATTCTTTTAAATTCTTGCTCTTCATATGAAAACTCAAGCTTTATAGTATAGCTGTTGATGAGCAAATTGTGTTACATTTTTGACTGCTTTGCCTAATGTTTGGAGGAGATTTTGAAGAAAAATTATCTGTTTACTATGTGATGGTCTTTTCTGTAGATAATATGGCAGAATATTTTGCTTAGCATTTGTTTGAAGACTGTACTGAACCTGATGACTGTGTCATTATGCTTTTGGCCCTGTGTATAGGAAAACAAGCAAAATAGTACTTTAGCAGCTTAAAAGTTGTATTGAGTGATATTTTTGCTCCCTGTAATGCTGTTGAAAATAAATTTCACTTAAATAAGTTTGTTCTTCTTTTAACTTCAACACTAATCACTTAAGACTATTTACAGTTTGAAGTTTTAGACTCATTTGAAATTTATTTCATATTGCTTAGTATAGATAATGTAATCTCAATTTAAAAAGCTATGTTTATACTTCTGGGAGTGAAATCACTTCAGTAGTACAGTGATGTGCAGCAGTATATCATTTCAGGAAAAAAATACTGCATGATGGCAGCATTCTGCAAATGAGAACCTTGAGCATGTGTAGAACATCAAAAATTGGTTTGTTTTACACTAATATTAACACAGCTGGTCGCACAATCACCTCTGTAAATAACATGAAACTAGTACTTTTGTTCTCAGACCATCTATGCCCACATGGAACCATATCTCTTAGATTCATGCCCACCATACAAGAGGAAGCTAAAGCTGGACCTGAACACGAGGGAAAGCGGATTAGAAGGGTAAGGGAGGGAATAAGTAATGGGTGAAGACTCATAAGACTATAAACACCGTCACTGATTGTGCCAAGTGGCCTGTTTCCATGCTGTACATTCTTTGTAAATGTTTTTACCGCCTGGAAGCAAATCACATTGTTTCTTGAACCACTTCCTCTAGGCGTTGTGAGGAGCAGACTGCAGTGTGATTCACGCTGCTTTTATATTAAATTGCAACCGTTTGCAACATTTTGTTTCTATAAGAAAGGAAAATTTAATATCTGAATGTTATTGTGGTAGATTGGAACATTATATCAATTAAATGTTTTCTAATTTGCCTCATATCATAAATTATCATGCTAGTCTCTGAAGTAAGGAATCGTGCTTCTTCAACTGAAATATTGTTTGAAATGTTTCCAATAATTAAAGAAATGCTTAACATGTTTTGAAGTATAGATTCATGAAAGAATAATATTTACAGACAGTCCACAAAAAAGCTTATCTTCCCTGCAAGTAGAACCAGAAGCAGAATTCAAGTTTCATGCTCGCGATTATATAAAGTGACATTAGAGAGATTGTTTAAAAGGATCAAAGAACACTGAGTTCAGAAGAGGGGAGAAGAGTAAACTGTTGATAAAGTATCTGTTAGAAATGTTTTAAATAGTTTAAAGTTTTCAAGTACTCTTTATTTATCAGCCTAATTTTATGACCTGGTCTGACTTGTTTTTATCTTCTGTTTTATCTGCTGGGAGAATAATATTAGCTGTTTTTATTCCGAATTCTCGGAAGCAAACTGCTTATCAGTTGAAGGAAATCTTTTACATTCAATTCTATTAGAAAGTGCAATTGGTAATGCAATTGTGGAAGTTGTGAGGCTGCTGATTAATTACTAGGCAATCAGATTAATAAGTGACCTCTGTAGCTGTTAAATGTATTCTCATTCAAAGAGCAGATGTCCATCTGTTATCAGGGCTTCCTCTGCCTCCTCGACATGTCTGCTGCCTTCGATACCGTAGACCACTCCATCCTCCTCCACCACCTCTCTTACCTCAACCTTCAAGGTTCTGTCCTTGAATGGTTCGGGTCTCATCTCTCACACTGTCTCCAATTTGTCTCTGCCAACGGTTTCTCTTCCAGCCCCCGCACAGTCCTGTGCAGTGTTCCTCAGGGCTCTGTCCTTGGTGCCCTCCTCTTCAACCTGTACATGGGGTCAACTTCCACATGTATGCGGATGACACCCAACTGTAACTCTCTGCATCCACCCCTGATTCCAGACCAATTGACGTTCGGACAGGCTTGCTGTCTGACATCAAGTCCTGGATGAGAGCCAACTTTCTGCAGCTGAAACACTCAGTATGAGTGTTTAAGAATTCTTGCAGTCTAAAGTATGATCACAAAAGCATTGAAGAGTTGGAGATTTTTATTTTATTAAGGTGCTTCGGAATTAGGAAATGAAGACCGGCAACAAAATCAAATTGATTACATGTTACCAGTGGGAATTGTGGATCAATAGGTTTCTGTTATAGATATGTAATATCAAATACATTTTCTGTCTTGATATTCTCTGCTAGGTCATCTTGCTTCATATTGCCTTGCTCCTGTTTGTACTTCTTCCTTCCAGTTTTAGTGCTATTACAGAACCCAACATTTTTCGAATAAATTGAGCTTTTAATGAATCAAATGGAAGTTTCAATACAAAATTAGTAAATTCTTAGAATCCTCAACTCTGCTTACCTACTCTTACATTGATTAATGAAAATAGACCAGCATTCAGATTTAGATCTTTTGTGGTATGTCCTAGAAGAATATTCTGCAATTCAAATTCAAAACCACTAACTATTAACATTGCTCCCTAATAAAATTGGGAGACAATATAAAGTGAAAAGTATGTGGAATTGGTAAAACATGATGCATGTTTAGACTTTGGTCTGAAACCAATTATTTTGCCTCTGGGTAGAAAATCCAAAGGTTATCCAGACTGATGCCTATGCAACTGACATACTGGACACACTGTTGCCCTCTCAGCTCAACAAGAACAACAAATTACACTTAATTAACAAAGTAAATTAATTAATACAGTCAAAGTGAACAATTTAATAACAATCTGGTTGTCACACTTGAATGGATTGAACAACTGAAATGACAAATTCTTTCCAAACCTTAGGTTTTGGAATGGATTATTTCTGAACAACAGTCAACATGGAATCTGTCATTTAAGAGTCACTTGTATGCAAAGAGAAATTCAATGGTGTATTGTTCTCATGGAAGTAAAGGATTTTATCATTGATGCCAGAATAATGCTCCTTTGAGTCTAGTTGTATTGAAGATTTCTTTAGTTTGTGATTAGTAAAATTGATTCCACAGCAACTTTAAATTCCTAAATTATCAAATATATATAACTTGCCAAGATGGCATATCATTTTACATTTGCATAGTCATGCCCTCTGTAGCCATTTCCTTTATTGGTGGTGATTCAAATGCCTTTGATATAAGCACTGACTCATTCTGATTATGATTTTTTAAAGCAGCCACTTACGGAAAAGCATTATAATTTAATTGAATTATCATATCTGAATGTGTCTTCTCCCATCTTATCTTTGACTAAAAAGGAAAAAATATTTCAGCAATTCTCATGAAAACAGCTTTTTTTAGGTATGAACCATCTCTCCTGATTTCAACTTTCAATTAAAAATGATGTATGTACATAAGCAGAATGTATTCTTTATACAGTTATTTGCATCACATGCTTCTTTGTAATATCGATTAAAACTCTCTTTGTGGTAAAATATCATGCAATCTCGGAATTGTCACAGTATATGCATTGCAAATTTATACAGCGCCTTTCATGTTGCGAGAACACCCCAAAGCACTTGATGCTACTGGCTAGGGATGGGAACCAAGGGTTCTGGAGAGGCGAAAGATGACTGAAAGCATCATGGTCAAAGAGGTAGGTTTTGAATGAGGTGAGGGAGTAAGTCCGGGATGGAGTTCCAGACATTGGGAGCAAACAGGCTGAAAGTGAGGCAGATAGGGCAGCTAACATGAAGCCGTTTGGTGCTGAATAAGCAAAGGGAGTAGCCATGTCGGTAGTTGTAGAATGTTGCAGAGATAGGTTGGGGCAATCTGGTAGAATTTAAAGGTGAACTTGAACTCCATCCACTGGTAGATAATAATAATAATAATCCTTGCATTTGATATAGCGCTTTTCACGTCAGGAGGACATCCCAAAGCGCTTCACAGAACACACTGTAAAGTGAATTGACTGTATATTTGTGGGCGAACGCGGCAGCCAATTGCGCACAGCAATGTCCCACAAACAGTCGTAGATTGAAAATGACCAATTTAATTATTGTTTTTTTTTTTGGAGGGATTATTATTAGGCTCTGTGTGGAGTAAGGAAACTTGCCCAAGGTTTCGCCCTCTGCCTGGAATTGAACTCAGGTCTCTCACTTGCAAAGCGAGTGCTCTAACCACTGAGCTACAGGAGCCAAGAGAATATATATGGCCCTAAAAGTGTTTAGTCTTCTAATGTATTACACTAAGTTATATCCTTTTGCTTCTACATCAAACCAAGGAGACACAATCTAGAGCTGAACACACTTAAAGTTTAATTATCTTTCATTAAATACCCACTGACAAATTGAAAGGATGCACAAGACACAAGAGGTTTTTGAGCAGTGGCATAAATAAAATTTCACAATAATTTAAAAATCCTAATGAATACAAAGCAAAAAGGGAGAGTTTCTCCACCTATCTTGGCCAACAATACTCTAGATGAATTCTACACAAAAACTGCAGTATTCTATGAACACAACTTCAATTAATATATAGAATAATTCTATGGAAGACTCGTACTTTAATTTTCCCAAATTTAAAAAATGGAAGAAATAAAGTAATGTTAGTAACACAGTATTTTGCTTTCTTCAGTCTGAAAAAATAACATGGCAGCAACAATATATGAAACAATAACAAGGCACAACCCCTACATGGTATAGATACAGTAGACTATGGTATCACCACTAGCCATTGGCATGAAACATTGACATTATTTTAGAAATCAGCTTCCAGTGAAATAAAATCAGTGGTTTATTATCCATTCTTAAATAATTGCTGATTATAGCCATTATTTAGCAGCTGGAGAGTAAGGAATGCATTTGAAAGGGATTATTAGCCAGATACATTAAGAAAACCAATTCAGTATAGGCCATTAAAGGTAATATTTTGTTCAAATTTTTTATATTTAAACAATTCTTTAAAACGGAATATGAGTCATTGCAATAGGGACTCCTTGTATGTTCACATCATCCCACAGGGATCTCTGATACGATGCAAGGAGAAGTTGATGGAAATTCTAACAGACTTACTGATGAAGAATTCCAGTCGAGAAATACCGTTCTATCAAATGAGTCAGTGGTGAAAAGTATTATTTACTGCTAATGCAGCATTTGCCAAAGCTTCATTATTTTGCCATTGTTCATTGTCTGATTGGTCTCTGCCTCTTTTCTGCTACTACTGCAGATGGCTAGGTTAAACAACAACAAGAAGATTACATGTGTATAGTGCCTTTCACATCGGGAGGACGTC